AGTTGTAAATTATTTTATTCCATTCCTAGGTATTCCATCTCTAGGTACAAATTTACCACACTTAATTAATTCTGTATTCGGTTGGATTATTTCTGGCACTTTAGTTCTTGATAAACAAGCAGCCTATTGTACATGTATGATTTACAACTATCAACGAATTAGTCTACTTTTAATTAATAACAGTTATAATAAGATACTATCACGTTTTTGGAAACAAGAAGAGATTGTAAATAGTAAGCCAGTATTTACTTCTGACCAACACTACTGTAAGCAGTTGTTTCAAAAGACGACAACTGTCGATAATAGTGGCCATGCCACACAGTGGTACACTGTTAACATGCCAATCAATGAAAGTTTAATTATAGGGAACTCATTTAATACGACATACCGTTGATTAATACAATTAGAGGCGAGGTGTCTCAAATATTCTAAGTTATACAAAAAATATAAAAATTTACTCATTAGTGGTATTAGAACAGACGAATTATTGTCATCTTATTTATGGTGGCAAGATACCAATTGGATCTATAACGATACCAGAGAGTGGCCCATTTCTTCGCTACAGTTACTTTCAGAACAGGACAGTAACTTAGAATTAATTGAAGTTAAAATACAAACCGCGCATACAGTAACTATACCTTCTACATTATATTTAGATTATTTTTGCAAGTATTCCAATTTTACTAAACTAAATACAGTTATGTCATACGTATTTAAATTTATTAAATAAAAAAAGGACCGTCACTATCTTTTAGTGTCTGCTTTATATTTTTCGCATAATTTTATTATTCGAATGTAACAAGAACTTTAGTAAAGAAAGGAAAGAATTAGCAACTTTACAAAGTACAAACACAAATACAAACACATTTACTTTTAAAAGTAGCCCATTACGAAAGCTTAATCCTTTTCTAGACGATGTAGGTATCATTCGTGTTGGCGGAAGGATTCAAATATTCAATATAATCATGCACACCCTATCATTTTACCGCCACAGTCACACATTACATCCTTGATCATAGAATAGTATCACTACAGACTTTTACACTCGGGCATACAAAACACTCTTGCTAATCTAAGACTGCGATACTGGCCTATAAATGGTAGAGTCGAAGTTAAAAAGATGATTCACCGCCGTATACGGTGCATAAAGATTTAAAGCGCAAACTTGTGAGCAACAAATGTCTTCGCTGCCGAGTCCCAGGGTGTCTCTAGTGCGTGCGTTCACGCAGGTCGGAATTGATTTTAGTGGTGCCATTAATATTAGGAGTAATATGCAACACAATTGTAAATACACTAAGGAATACATATGTCTAATAATTTGTTTGGCTACGCGTGCTATTAATTTGGAACTTGTTGGTGATCTGTTTACGCATTCTTTTATCAATGCATTGAAGCGTTTTATATCTAGGCGAGGTATATGTACTAGTATTCAGTCGGACAACGGCACGAATTTTAGAGGTTCACATAATGAATTGAACGTATTATACGAAATGTTCAAAAACGATAAATCGTATACTAATATTGTTAATTTCTGTAGTAAGGATAAAATAGAATGGAATTTTACTGTGCCTTTAGCTAGCCACATGGGTGGTATTTACGAAGCAGGCATCAAATCTGTAAAAACTTTACTCAAAAGACAGTTATGTAACAGTAAGTTAACGTATGAGTTGCTAAATACTGTACTTATACAAATTAAGGGTATCCTCAATAGTCGTCCGCTGTGTCCTTTGACTGACGAACATTATGATATGCCGTGCTTAACTTCGGCACACTTCCTCATAGGGACGCCTATTGTGGACTTACCAGAACCAAATATATGTAATGTTACCGAAAACAGATTGTCATTGTTTCAAAGGATTACTCGCTTCAAACAAATGTTCTGGAAGCAGTTTTATAAACAGTATTTGTCTGAACTACAGGTTAGATCTAATTGGTTAGGCAAGTGTAATAATCTAGAAGTAGGATGTGTTGTTTTAATTAAGGACGAGAATACTCCACCTGCCTGTTGGCCGCTTGGCAAAATTATTCAAGTCTACAAAAATAGTAGTGATAACTTGGTTCGGTCTGCAATTATAAAAACTGCCACTGGTGAATATCACCTTCCTATACGCAAGCTTGTATTATTACTAGAACAGTAGTTGTTTTTGTAACTTATACTTATAATTTTTAACATTAAGTTTATGTAAATACAGTCCACACAATAATTGTAATTTCTTTTTACTATGCAGCTATTTGTATTCTTTATAAGTCTATCTATTATAAGCTAATGTAATCTATGCTTGACGACTAACATTACGTAGTGCTAAGGGAACTTCGTTAGGCCGGGAGCATGATGCGATCGCAAATAGCCCTTTACTTTATTTAAAAATAAAATTTCAAATTTCAAATTTCGAACGTCAGGCACAGAACATCGATGTTATTTTATATACAATTTTGCACTCCTCGAACATTCCTTGGCGTCATTATTAAAATCAACATACCATACATTCAAAATATTCTTTTTATTTCAATTTAAAACAAATCAACTACTGCAATATTCCTCCATCAAACAGTAATAAAGGGTAAAAAAGCAAAAACAAAGTTTTTGCTTCACGTATTAATATAATGATTCTTTACCCAATATTTACTAGTTCGAAACTTCATCAACATCATCAGCCCACAGCTGCCCACTGCTGGACAAAGGTCGGTTCGTTTCTAATTTGATCTCTCAGAGAAACTCCAAGCATAGCTAGCTTTTTCCATAGCTCATTAAGCAACTTTGAGTTGGTGAACAATTTAACCTGAACAATTTCGAGCGGAACTTCATTTAACGTCTTATACAAATACAATTATCATTAAACTTATTTAAAGTCAATTGTATTCACAATATGTACATACTCTTAAACATTAATATAATAATAATAACCCTAAACAAATAACACAGCGTCATCTAACTACCGAGCTACGCAGCGTTTGTGTTATGGGTTCTGGACAACTGATAAACGACTTGGATATTTTTTTTTAAATACCTACAAAATTTGCATCGTGCAAGGAATCAAACCCGTTACCTTAGGAACTAAGGCGGTGTGCTAAATCGCTAGACTACCGAGAGATGAATTTTTCTTGTCAAATCAATCAACTCAAATTATAATTTAAAATGAAGTTTTACTTGACTTTATATAAAATAGCACAGACTCGAACTGAATGGAACAAAACGGATCGTTACAGATCGGAACGAAAATGGAATGGAGTGAAATGGAATAGAATAGAAATATGTTTTCAGTTCAGTTCAGTAGTGTCAGTTCATAATTCGAAATGCAAACTATCTACAATGAATGAACTGGTAAGAGAAAATTTTAAAATTGATTGATTCAACCCAGTTTATAAATTACATGTATGTTATTTATGTACGTATAATAAAACTCACCATCAACTATTAGCCAATATGAATAAGAATTTTCGTTGTAATTACATCTAAAAGTATATTGATCACTATTGTTATAATAATATCTACGATCCACTTTAATTTTCCTGTTTCCTGAAATAAAAACGTAATAAATGCACCTTAAACGCCTTATTAGTGACAATAGTCAATATTAATTTCAATAAATTGGCACTTTTGTTTTATTTTCTCTCTGTTTTCCTTTTGTAAGTATTGTACTTATTGTGTTATAACCTTGTTCAATTGTGTAAAGGTTTAATAAACTTGTTTAACTATTTGGAGCTTTATATATCATTACATAGAATAAAACTAAGTCGCTATCGCTGTCTGTCAGTCCTGTGTGCTTAAATTTTTAAAACTACGCAACGGATTTTGTAGCGGTTTAAGAGTAATTCAAGAGGAAGGTTTATGTATATTCGTGCGGAGCCGGGACGAATAGCTAGTATATTTATATATTCCACGCCCGCACCCATCATGATGCATCCAGCAATAATAAAACAGTCCACGCATCTCAGGTAATATTATGTTATCTGTGCCTATACTTACATAATATATTTGATATGCCAGTATTCATTTTAAGAGCGTAGTGATTACTACGCTCTACTACTTTCAAATCGTGCAAATATAATGCACAAATCAAAAATCATTTATCTGTCTAGGACATTTTAGTTGTATATGAAATGAAATGAATTTTGGTAGTGTCCAAGAATATTTGACTAAAACTTTTCTGTAATTTGCATCCTTGTTATGCTAAATCTTACTGATCAACAATATTTTGATGTCTTATCTACTGTATCGAATTTTGCAAATAAATAATTTCATTTCACTCATGATTTAAGAGCTGCGCTCTTGTCGGTGTAGCTCTTGCCAATTTCCACGATCTTCCATCAATGTCTTTAGTAGTAGTTGATATGACACAACTAAAACTATTTTCTTATTTTGCATGATATAATTGTGTCTTGATCTTCCCCTTCCTCTTTTTTTCTAGTTTTCCTTCTTAACTTCGTCGTATCGTATCAAGTGTTCCAACATAACAACGATAACAAACCACGCTAACTTGAGCGATGGCACTTAACTCGCCTCGACTCAAAAATATATAGTAAGTCGACAGCGCAAGTGACTTTCCAATAGGACTGTTATGTTTTATTAGTATAAAATATATGATCCGATTAGTATAAAAAATACAATAGAGCTAATTCTTTTTATGCTATAGCCGTTATTATAACTGACAAACAAACAAATTTCTTATTGTATAATACTTATGAATATTGAAGTAAATAAACAACAAACCTTTTATCCATACTGGGGTCTCATTTCTGTAAAATAATGCATCGTAACAGGGTACATAGTTTTCTTTAACAGTCCAAATTGTTTGAATTGTTCCATTGATATCTGTAACTCAAATCAAATCATTTATTCGCAGAATACAGTACTTATTACTCGTTTGCATTGTTATATATAAATTTAGAAAAGCTTGTTTGTTTTAGTTGTGTTATAGTTATAATTACAGGTCATCATTGAACGAATTCTTAGACAGGAATTATAGTATACACTTATTTGTTTTTAAGTCTTCTGTGGGTTGCCAAATTAATAGGGACAGTCACATTTTTTATAATTTTTGTTCTTCAAGTGGTCTTGACTACGTTTTTAAGTGGTAAAAGTTTTTTGCTGATATGTTTTTATGTTCACCTTGTCTCTATAACTCAAATTCAAAGTGAATTTCAAGTGCTGAGAGATTTGTTTATTTTGGAAATATATTTTAATGACGGGAGAGACACACAGTCGTTCACACGTGTAAAAGTGAAACACGTAAATTATTCTTTTAAACAGTTCTTTAGTGGTTTTGTGAAATAATCAATACCTGCAAGTAAGTAATATTTTACTATAATTAAAATTAAAGTATTTTGGAGCGGATTTTAGAACAATTTTAATTTATTTTTATATTTTCAGCTTTGGCTATGGGTCGAGGGGTAGATTTGACTCCGAGAAAATAATTCGAGGTTAAAACCCTTCTCCTACACACAAATCACTCTCAGAGGATGATAGCACAACTGGCCGGGATATCGAAATCTGCCGTCAATAAAATAAAAATAAATTTAGATCAAAATCAGCCACTTTCGCCCAAAAGAAAAGGCAAATGTGGCAGAAAACGTATCACAACAACACGTTCCGATAGGAAAACTCGAGATATCTGCTTGCAAAACAGAAAGAAAAGTGCTGGATTTTTAACTCAGATAGTACAGGAATCTGGAATACGTGTTTCAAAAAGAACTGTACAGCGAAGGTTGGCAGAGGAAGGCCTGACAGGTCATCGTCCAGTTAAGAAACCCTATTAACAGAAGCGATGAAAAAGAAAAGGCTTGCTTGGGCTCGTGAGCACCGCCTGAAAATTGTTGAAGACTGGAATAAGGTCAGTTCTATGGTTAATTTTATTTGTGTTATATAAAATCATATTTACAAAAATTATAAATAGTTTCTATATTTTTTTAGGTATGTTTCTCAGACGAGTCAACTTTTGAAATTCTGGCCAACAAAAGTAACTTCGTGAGGCTGCGCCCAGGCGAGAAATTTCATCCTGATTACATAGTGGAACGAATTAAACACCCTGTAAAAATAATGGTATGGTCTGTCATCAGCACAAAAGGAGTTGGGCGCCTCTATATCGTCCAGGGAACCATGAGACAGGACCAATACAAGCAAGTATTAGAAACTCGCCTGTTGCCGCAACTTCAGGAATGGTTCCCGAATGGGGAGGAATTCGTGTTTATGCACGATTCAGCTCCATGTCATAAAGCGAGGAGTGTAACCAAATTTTTGGAAGACCACAACATTCCAGTTTTACCTTGGCCTGGCAATTCTCCTGATATGAATCCCATAGAAAACTTGTGGGAAATTACCAAGGCGGAAATTGCTAAGGAAATCATAACTACCAAAGTAAAACTAATTGAAAAATTAATAAATGTATGGTTTCACAATCCCAAAATAAAAGAAAGTGCTAAACAGTGTATTGAAAGTATGCCGAGGCGGATTCAAGCACGACATTGATAGAAGCAAAAGGAAATGTGACAAAATACTAATAATTTCCCATCATCATTTTTATTATACTTGTTTATATTTTCTAGTTGTTCAAATATAAAATTATTATAGTCTAAATTCATTATGAGATATGTGTCTGATATTATTAAATATAATTATAGCCTAAAGTGACGTTTTTAATTAATTATAGACCAATGTTTTACAAAAAACGAATATTTCGTGACTGTCCCTATTAATTTGGCAACCCACTGTATATCTCCTAGTATTAGCATTACCTCCATAATATCGGCTTATTAGCCAAAGCTACGCGTTTTAACTCCGCGGCGTCCACACGGGGGATATCCCTCTAACTATGTAATATTATGTTATCTGTGCTCTAACGGACCGTGGGCGTTCGGCGCAAAACGACAGCTCCATTAACTCTCTAATACCAGTACACTACATGGCTTGTTTTAGTATATGGAAGTTTAAATTATAGATGTCTATGTTATTGTCAATAATAAAACTGTAGAACGAATAAAGTAAAGGATTTTTCTATAATAAGAATAATAATCTCAGGACAATTCACACAGCGCCATCTAGACCCAAGTTAAGCTAGCTAAAGCTTGTGTTATGGGTCCTAGACAACTGATACAAATACATAGATATTATTATTCTTATTATACATATAAAACACCCAGACCGATACAAACAATCATATTCATGAATACAAATGTTTGTGCCGTGCGAGGAATCGAACCCGCGACCATGGGAAGGGAACGGCATGTTAAACCGCTAGACCACTGAGGCCGAATTAATGGCAAAAGACTTTTTATTTGGCATTGCGAGGGAATATTTAGCATTTAGTCAGATAATTAATTAATGAATACTATATACTTTAAATATTTGACAACAACCAAGTATGTTATTTATTTTCTTTTTCTTTATGAAAATGACTAATTACAATTTGTAATGTAATTTGTTTCCTTGTAATTTATAGTTATTGAACGTTGATACATTATAACATTTTTAATTTTAGGGCGGTACGAAGTTTGCCGGGTCAGTCAGTTGTTATCACAGATAATATAATATTACATAGTTGTTATATAAAAATAAGTAATGTAAGTCAAAGAAAATAAACTAAACCCAACTCAAAAATATCACTTGCGATAGATTTTTGTTCAATATATAAACTGTTTTCGGAGTTTTCTTTTATGAAATACCTATATATTGCTAAAAATATATAATACAGAAATAAAAATTTACTTACCAAAGTAATTGTTACATAATACATTTGAAGAATATAAACCAATTAGAAGTATTAGTGTTATAGAATACATTATTAGAATGAACTTTATAATTGTATATAACAACACATTAATAAAATAATTTTCCTCTAGGCAAGATTTTCCTGTAGCTCTCAGGTTATTAATATAAACTTATTAGCTCCTACTTATAACAAGCTATTTGACATCGCTAAAAGCAATATAAACATTTTTAAGTATTTTGTATGAAACTAAGGTTACACTGTATTTGTATTAACAAGTAGCTGAGCACGCGACCTCCGTATAATGTAAGTAACGTTTCGTTGTAAGATAATTGTAAAGTTTAAAACAGTATATAATTGTAATAATTCGACAATATTAAATTTTATTAATCCAAACAAAATAATAAACAAACAGATTGTCAATCAGTTGACGATTTGTGTATAATGCTGATTACCCAAACAAACAGACTGTTAAGCAGTTCACGATAATTGTATATAAGTAAAACCTGTGTAGATATTTGTAAAATAAATAAATAAAAATTAAAAAAGTTAAGTTATATACTTGCTATTAAAGTAACGCTAAATTTTTACGAATTAATAAATTTAATCTTTTTGCAAGAAACGAAACGAGCTTAATGTCTATTTAACATTTATCAAATTCAAATACAAATTCAAAAATCATTTATTCATGTGGGACATTTTAGCCGTTTATTAACGTCAAGTTTTTACATTATAATTTTTTTTTGCCTACCGTTCGGCTCATTGATTGAATTAGTTTGCAACGGCGTTGTGTGTGAATGTGAACAAAAAGTCGTCTTCACGGAGATCTGAGAAATGAAATTCGTTTCACTATACGAATTTCATTTCACTATACTATAGTATAGTGTCTTTTGTAACAACTATAATTTAAGTGTATGTAAGAATTACTATATTTGTCGATGCCGATGGTTTCTCACATCTACTTGTCTTACATCTCTATGGTTGTAGGGTATTTTCTAGGTTTCTCTAAATAAGTCTAACAAAGTTTATTTTCCCAAAGTTTAATTTTTAGTAAGTAATTTTAATACATGCTGTATTAGAATTTGTAACTTACAAACAATTGACATGTATCTACAAAATAATAACTCATGACGTCGAGGCAATCATTCTTACAGAAGTGTTAGAGGATTTCTTGTGGAAAAAGCCATCAACGTACTGCGATACTTTAGTCACACCTATTGTAGCCGCCAACCTGTTTGCTTTGTAAACTCTTTTTCATTTATAGGGTCAGATTAGCAGTGAAATAACAAGATAAGATTAGATGACATTTCCTGATGAGTCCTCTAGAATGGCGACACATGAATGGTATCTCGGGTATCACGTGGTAACGCGATATCAGTTAATATCCCCGAACAATAGCGAGTGCAGCTATCGCTTATGGACTTATAAAGCGGCTGAAAGCCATCTCCTGCCTAACGGATACGACATTAGTCTGAGAGCACGACTAGGGCTTCGAACCTCGACATTCTGAACGAACCACTGTGCACCAGTAGATCGACGGAAGAACTTTGTACTTGTACTTGTAGGATTTGTAGCTAATTGATTTGGCTAGGATCATCAATACCTCTGAACGGGTATTCATGAGTATGATTGTTTGTATATTTTGTATCGATTTACAAAATAAAATACACGTAAGTATTTATATCAGTTGTCTAGTACGCATAACACAAGCTCTGCTTACCTTGGGACTTGAGCTTTTGTATGAATTGTCTAAAAAAATAAGCATATGGATGATGCTCATCCAGCAGAATCCGCAAAACAATTGCAATCAGATTTAATTCAGCTATTAGCTGATGGTTCTATTTAAGTAAATTTCAAAGCAGACTCATACATACAGACCACCGAGGTCGTCAAAATACCTAAATATACATGTATATATATATATATGTACATATTTATATTATATTTTCCTTGTATTACATCAGTCAGTATATTTAATATATAACGTTCGTTAGTATGAAATAAATAACGTTCTCTATTATTACAGTATTTTAACCAAGATGGCGCATAATTTTTGTTATTTAAAATTTAAATCTTCATATTTAATTTATATTGCATTGTTATACAATGAAATTATAATGGAGACAGCCTGCTGTCGTTGTAAGTAATTCCTATACTACCTTTACACTACTGTGTCTATGTAGGTACATATAATATATATGGTACATGTTCCTAGAGCATTCGGTAGTTGGTTGAACTTAATTTATTTCTCTTGGAGAGAAATTTAATATAGCCTAACTATTTTAGTGAGGCTTTAAGGCTCAGCTCAGCCAGAAGACTAGTTTACCTCAATTGTTTGGGTAGGATCTAATAGTTTATTTAATTTACGTATCAGTGATTTCCATGAGCTTTAGTCAGATTTAGTTGGGTATACAAAGTATATATTTGAGATAGATTTTGAAAAAAAATATCAGCAGTATAAAAATTTGGCGGCTGAAATAGGTTAGTATACAATAACAATTCAGTCTCACATATTTTAGCTGAAGATATATTCAGTGTATATCAGTTCAGTTCAGTATATACTATTGTTTCAGTATAACGTGTAATAGTAGTGAATTACAGTATAAGAGGCATTACATCTTAGCCCTAATGGGTACCACAAGTGCAAATAATGTGATATCCATATTTATTCATGTATATAGGCATCGGTTATCACTTACTATCAGGTGGGCCGTGAATCTGTTTGTCATTTCAATTACATAAAAATAGATCGACTAAACATATAAATAACTCGTTTACAATAATTTAATAACAATTATCTGTATTATAACTACATATATGTGGTGGGAACAATATACTTATAATAAACTGTACATGTAATACACACTTAATTTTACCACAGATAACATAGGTTCTACTTTTTAAATTATATTAGTAATGACTACTACTAATGTGGTTACTACCCGTGATTTACTACACTGAATTACACCCAAGAGGTTGTAAGTTCAAGTCTGGCCGACACCAACAAAAACTTTGTGTGTCTATTTATACTTCTGTCTAACTATCTGACCAATATCCGAATTAATCCAAGACAGGCCGATAGGTTTTAATTACTCGATAATGCCTCTGAGTACAATATAACAGTCGACAGGGAATGTAGTAAAAATATTTTTATTATATAATAGTAATAATTAACTTTTGTGTAAAATTTTAGCTTCTACAAGGAACAAGGAGAATCTAAGGTACTATGACACAAGTGTACGGAATATTTCACATAAATGTACAAGCAATGTTTATAGCAAACAGTCAATAAATCATATGACCCACCGTCTAAATTACTTCCCCGGAACTGGTAAATCTATAAACTTAAACAAAATTTTTATTTTTTAACAGTACTATCAAGAGAATTCCCAAAAATCTATATTGTATCCTACTTCACAATTGTTATTGACTGATTGGGTTTTAAAAATAATATTATTTAAAGAATGGGATGAGGTAAGACAATGCTGATGAATATGTAAATAATAATAGATTAAACGGTAAATAATAACAGTTCTCAGTTCTAATATGACTTACTTATTTCCAAAATTTATTGTTTTTTAGATATATTATTTTTACAAGGACATGAATCAAATTATTACCTAATACTAACAATGAACTTGTACAATTTTGACAATAATACTGAATTAATCTGTAACCAGATAGAGAGTGAAACAATTTATATACATTCAAAAATACTGGGTAAGTTGGATAGTATTTAGTATTCGTATGCTTGCCTGGTATACTTATACCGCATTCCCACCAAAGCAAACACACACACACATACCTACATGCAACTTTGTAAAAGTATAATATACCTATATTTATATGTATACCTTTTAAATCCCGTTATCGATACATATTAGTATTAAATTTCTGGACTATAAAGCTTTCCTTATAATATGGAACATAAAAAATCACCTTATCTACGGTACAGTTTTAGACAGCGTTGCAACTTTTTGCCTATGATTTCTTGTATCTATACTCGTATAAAGGCTTTATTTGCCTCATTGCTTACAGGCTTAAGAACGAAATATTGTCATATCAGACACTGACGATGCGATAGCTACTAGAACATTTATTTTTACTACCCTTTTAAACATACCTACACTAAAACATTGTACGAAAATAAAGAACGCAATGAAAAATTTACTCATGAACTTCTGTAGGGCAAAATCTAGTATAATATTTTACGAGGATGATCTCATCGTATCTCGTACCGTTATTCAAAAACCTTGTACCCCCGTACGACGATCCTCGTTGGCATTCATAGTTCCTGCATCGTTGACTCTGATTGCTAATATTATAAGCACTATATAACCTTATGGATTATTAATCTATTCCCGAAATCAATTTATCGTCTTAGCGATATATTTACATGCTGAGATACCTATATTTCCTTTTTTTACATAATAAAATTTATTTACATGTTTGTATGGCTACCACTGAATAATAATTTTATGCGTATTATATTAGTTCGCCTACAATTTAATAAAATAAAAGATGCCATTGCAACTGCTATAGAGGCTTTGTTTATTGTTTATGTTAGATTTATCATCAAACGATGACGTGTACATTTCGTACACAGGACGTACAATGCACTGCACCACTAGTTTTAAATGTTTTAATAAATATATTTTAGAGGCCGAAGAAGACTCCACCGATAAAGCATATATATATTACTATAATAATATGACATACCAGACAACGTGTAAAGGGAAACATTCGACGTGGTTGTTATTAAATGGTAAGTAGGAACTATGACAAATGTAAGGTGAACAATACAAGTCATTTTAAAACATAATTGTTCTTTAAACTCTACGGTTTTTATTTTGGCTTTATCTGTACGCAGATACGATTATTACTTTATAACTTATAAATATCAAGGTGAAATGTATTAAGAATATTATTTGGCTATGAAAGCTGAGACATTATAATACAAAGTCTGGTCATGAGTACTGTTACGATTGAGTATAATAAAGCTCGATCCACCCAAGCTGGTAGGGAGTGAATGTTCCAGACTTAACCAAAACTGAAGACCAGCCGTCATCTAGTCCCGATCTGAATTAGATGGATTATGATATATAGTCAGTTTAAAGAGTATGGCTTGCTCTAAACGCTATGATAATTTGGAATCCATAAAATTGACAGTGAAGTATTTGAGTGGATGGAAAGAGTGCGTGCTTCTATCGATATCTGCCCTCAACGTTTAAAGGACTGTATTGCAGCCAACAGACATCATTTGGAATAAGCTTTATACTATATATCTTTATACTAATATTTAAACTAATACACAATAAATAATAAATGCAATAGAAAAAATAAACATTTTCCCTTGTACACAAACAAACAATATTTATGACAAAACTAGGTATAATATTTTAATACTCCTCATTAGATCAATATTTTTTATTTGTGTATTATTCAATTCAGGCCATACAGCCCATATTACAAATACCTTACACACTAACATACATATGAAATATAATAAAATATAAGTATAAATTATCTGCACTGACGACGGCAATCTGTCATGATAACGCCGATTCACTACACCCTTCGGTCATTAGTAGCGCTCGATAGTATTTAAGTAGTCTGTTTCTTCCATCACTTGCAATGTTTGTCAATAAAATAAATAATTAATATTCCACTACCACAATCATCATCTTTCAGCCAACTGAAATTTACTGTTGGATATACTGTTGGTCTCAATCAAGGCATGCCACTAGTTACGATATGCACTGCAAACTAGTTCTGTTAAAATATGTTTTTTTTTATTTCAGATCATAACAGAATTGTTGGAATTCAAAAAGAAAACCGTGTTAATTTAAATATCAGTGAACATTCAAGGATGATTTGCATTGACTACGAATGCTATAATATGAACTCTATAAATACTACACTATGTACGAGAGTAATACGAAAAGATTTAACCTTTATATCTTATGAATACGACTCCAATAGTAGCTATAATAAATTAATAACTGGTAAGCTTTTTTACTAATTCTCCCTCTGAAATTTTAAACTTTACCCTTCAGTTAGTAAGACACCACATACATTATCAAGTAAGACATAATTATATATACGTGTATAATTATGATTGCGTATATATCTAATTTAATTTAATTTACTACTTTCAAATTGAAAGTAGTAGATTAAATTAAATTAGTTTTTTTTTAATTTTATTAAATTTAATTAGAAACATGACTGATATTTGAAGAAACACTTTCTAAATATACCTACTAGGTAGTACTAAGTTCACAGCACTGTGTTTTACTAACGATTACCACTTTCCATTTGGTGAACCGTTGTTTGTTTAACATTCTAGAAAAATCGTAAATTGTAAGCCTAAGTGTATAATGTTTTAAAAAATAGAGCCAGTGTTACGTTTTTCACAGATTTTGAATCCTAAAAAATATTTTTTTTATTGTAAATACGTTTGCGCTTGGTCTTACCAATGGTCTTGATCTGGTCTGGTCTGGTCATCTGATGGAATAATGGTGGCGAGACCTAGGATGTACTCACCCAGAAGAAATGTATTCACCCCAGACTTGAAGGTTAGATCACTAATGTGAACGATCAGGAAATACGACCACAGCTACTGAAAGCGTTATACTTCCAGTAGATCGTGTTTCCGCACTGAATGTTTGTGGTTTCGGAAACTTACTTACGTAAAAAACTTACTTGAGCAAAATAATACAAATCCAAACATCATACTTAATATATATAATAACTGATATGATATCTATAGTATATTCTTCATAGTTCTTCATGATATGATATTATGAAGAAGAGGCGTGAAGAATATAATATAGAATTGAAAGAAAAGAAAACTTGACCAAAACTGCCAAATTTTATTTCTTATTGAAGCTAACTGGTTTTTAAATGTTTGATTGAATGTAGGTAACTATTTTTTTCAGTGTCCATAATAACATTTGTGGTGTTGGTTGGAATAATACTGATTCTACTGTCTGCGCTGCTTTGTTGCATTTTCAAGAAACCCCGACCTCCAATGCCTTTGCCGGAACAAGCAACTGACTCAAACATTTTATATTCTGAAATATATGATCACATAAATCGCATATAATATAACATATATTAATAAGGGTTGGGTTGATGTTATATGAAATTTTAACATATTAATTGCGTTGCAAGAACGCTTAACTACATATTTAAGCGTTCTGCCTAGCTTGAGACCAGATGGCACTGTGTGAATTGTTTAGGCTTATTATTAATACTACGTATAAAATATATAATTTTAAATATAAATATAATTACAATAGTAATGTTAGACATTAAAATACACAAATTAAATATAATAATATGTTTATATGTATGCTACAATTAAGTGAAGTTGGTTATAGGTAATCAAATGGAAGAATGTTGCGTAATTACAGGTATTACACCTGAAGTATAAGTATCACTGCTCTCTTGTAACATGTACTGTAAATATACAGATAATTTAGTGTTTTGGCTATGTCGCCTTTCACATAAAATATAAATGTATCTATAGAGTACAATTCTCATAAGAGCAGTGCCAACTCTCGTAAAAGTTTGTTAAATTGCTCTGTAACAGTTTTATTTTCTTGTCTTTTATCGTTTTTGTTTATTTATTATAGCAATTTCTAATATTTTTTGTATGTTTTTAGTATAGTCACTGATAATATAATAGGGTTGGTTAGATGCGGCGGCCTTGTTACATGCGTCTTTGCGTGTGTCCCTGGATAGTACTTGAAAATTAGAAATTAGTGATTTTCCTTGTGAGTGTGCCTTTAACGCAAATAAAAGATTTATCTATTTAACTATCTATCTCTATGGTTTTTGCACAGTATTTCGATTTTAAGGATCTTTGCTTATAACATCTTTAATTATTATATTATTCACTATATTATTGAAATTTATTCCAAATTCGAACCTCTAATATTATATCATATTCGATCTATATTAATTCGAATAAAAAGCGTATTTTTTTAGATAATTAAAATTACAAACAATCTGTCGGTCCACCTGATGGTAAGTGGTAATCTTGCCTAGATATATCAACAGCACTACGACATTACGTTATCATGTGAAACCGTATCCGTGGTGCCAGTCACGTCGTAACGTCGAGAGAGGTGAACATCTTTATTTACTACAAAATTTCCTCTTCTCTGAATTCTTATACTTAGAAACTATATGTTTCAAAGTATGAAAAAAATAATCTAGAATTTATGACACATAAAATACAAGCATAACTGACGGCCATGGTGGCCTAGCGGTTTAGCACACCACTTTATTTTTGACGGTCGCAGGTTCGAATCTTCGCACAGTACAAACATTTGTATTCCTGCGTATTATTTTTTATATAGGTCAGCGTTTTCCTATGTAATAGTACATATGTATTTACAAAAAATAACCTATCTAACTATATCTATTAGTTGTCTAGTACCCATAACACAAGCTCTGCTTAGCTTGGGATTATAGTTTTTTAAACACGGAAACTAATTTGACAGGAGTAAATGTCAAATTAATATCTAAATATAATATCTAACTTTATTTATTTTATGTTAATGTAATTTTAAACAAACACCTACACATTCTTTACGATTAACATATAAAAATGGGTGGGTAACTAATATTAATTTTCGATAGCACCACATACTTATTTAAAAATTTCAAAAACCTGCTAACATCGTTAATGTCACATTTGTCTCCTGGAATAAAATAAACTATAGATGGCGCTGTGTGAATTGTCCAAGAATAATATGATTATTAGTATTATATTAGCTACACACTTTATAAATCGGTTGAAACGATAAGTTAGTCCTACTATTATATATTGAGATTCTCCTCAATGTGAGTCATCTCAAACCTGACTTGACGTGTACATATTAATCATAATACCTAGCTATTTTATTGTATAATTATAACAAATGTTGCGTGGGTTATTTCAGTGACACAAAATGGTGTATTCTGTGTGTTATTTAAAATTAATATTAACGTACTTAATATGTACTGCATTATATACTAAATCGTTAATGGGCACAGCCAATAGTCTACCCCGTAAGTACCTACTCTTGCACTGTATTATGACTACATGACTTTGTGTACTATCACAGATAATATAATATCCCATCAAAAACATAAATGTGAAATGATAGCCGAGTTTAATATTATGATATATGCCTTGATTGTTGACTTCTACGACAAAAGAGAGGAGATCTAAATGGGTGCCAAGTTCAATGGTCTGTCCTGAAATGTATTTATAACAATATAAAATATCATTTCTTCTTATAACTTAGGATAATATACTGTAGCCTAAGGTCTAACTTGGCCAGTTCTCATATACCAATTATTACTTTCGATTGCTAGTTACTACTAATATTAAAATAGGAACCGACAAGTAACATGTTTAGAACTTGCGAAGGCTACAGTATATTTCGTACCATCCTGATCATCTGGATGAATGGCGGTCTTCCACAGTACGGTTTTCTATAAACTTTTTGCCTCGCACAACCACATTGTGGAATCACCTTCCAGCAATGGTATTTCCGAACCGATACGATATTGAAGCCTTCAAGAAAAGAGCTTATTCCTTTTTAAAAGGCCGACAACGTACTTGCAATTCCCCTGGTGTTGCGGGTGCTCATGGGCGGCGGTAATCACTTACCATCAGGTGAGCCGCATGCTCGTTTGTCCCCTGTGTTATAAAAAAAAATACCAAATCTCAGTTAATAACATAATAAATACGAAATTCGACTATACTCCTAGTGTTTACCGCTCAATGCAATATTTGAAGTTTGCTAGTTATCGACACTGATGTGAAGGGGTCAACGTAAATTGGTAATGATCGACGTTTTCATATAATATTACTTTCCGTCCAGTACAAGATGAGATATTTTCGCCAGGGATCAATGTCAATTGGTGGCAATCGACGTTTTCATAGAATTTTAGTATTCGTCCAGTATAAGTTGAAATAGAATCAATTAAAATGAAAAATTGTAGTAAAATGATAACAATTTACCAGTTTCAGTTCAATTTACCATTTTTTCCTTTCTATTATCCTAATTACCTATCTGCATGCCAAATTTGAACTTCCTAGGTCATCTGGAATTGGGTTATAATTTTGATCTATAGTTGATTTGTGATAAAAATGACGATTTTTGGACATTAATATCTAAATAACCGGTTGAGATATGTTTATGAAATTTGGAGCACATATTTATCTCGCAAGTCTCAATATATGAACCAAATTTGACAGGATTATGTGAAAGAGTTTTTGAGTCATGAGGGGGTCAAAAGTGGCTCCAAATGGTTCGTGTAAATATACACACGGTGCTGCTTGCCAGTTTACTTGAAACTCGGCTTGACACGCTACCGCATGTCTAGATTACAGTACTATTATACATATTACTGTACATAATGTAATGTAATAAACTACAATGTCTGTTTAGTTCTAGTTTCGAGTGTGTTCTTAAAGCATTTGTATAAGTTTTTTTATTGGATGACAATAGTATTGTTAACCCGCCGGAGCTATACGTTTACGCTAGCGGGGAATCAGTGAATGATGAGGTCAGGTAAGTTACCACATCGTGACATATTCACCTGAAATAGAATAGAATAGAATAGAAAATCATTTATTCAAATAAACTTACATTGAAGCACTTTTGAAGAGACATCACATTTTTTTAATCTACCGCTCATTCGGAAAGCTTTCTCGTCACAAGAAGAACGAGCAAGAAACTTGCGTGTTGCTCTTTTAAATAATTTTATTCTTACTTTACATTTTTAAGTTTAAGTGTGTGAATACAAACCACCAATTAGCACTAATTCAATTAAATACTAAAATAGAAAAATATTGAATATATAACCAACTGGTTAAACAATTAGTAAGAGGAAATCAGTCATAGTGATTAGAGCAGACCAGTCCCTACAAGCAGCATCCGTTCACGAGTATGACGGATGAGTTAGCCTATACTGCGCTCGACCATATTTTAGGGAGCCCAATGACCCGGCCCACCACGCCGCACCGCCACAAGTCTGGACATTTTAGTGAGCATGACTACTCAAAACACTAGACCACGTCATAGCTACTTACAATTGCCGTCTGATAGTTCACCAATCCATCACCAAGCCGTGGATAAGGTTTTAAGCCGTCTTAAAGTTTGATCTACCCAAACTTGGTTGGAAACGAACGATGTTCCGAACTTGATCAAAACTGAAGACTGACCTATTTAATTTAAAAGTTGCTGTCGTTGTGTTTTTTTTTAATACGAACTCTTTTTCGTTTTATTTCTATTTCTTAAAATATAGTTATACGAAGTTTTATTATAAATATTATGTAAACTGATATACAATGACGCTATAATTATCTGCATTAATGTTTGATTTTAGGAGACCTAGAAATTATAAATTATGGTGCTGACTTTCTACATCTGAATTTAACTTTCCAGAAATTACCCGCATTAGCTACAAAATTTTACTTTCAAGGTTTGTACTTATACAACACGGCTTTATGAATGCACGCTAAAGAAATTGTTGAAATTTAAATACAATTTTACAACCTTGTAGGTCTAGCGGTATTCCACGCCGCGCCGTTTTACTTTCGAAGGTCACAAATTCGATTCATCGGACTCTACAAACATTTGTATTCATGAATATGTTTATTTGTATCAGTCTCGAGTGTTTTCTATGTATAATATGTAGATATTTACAAAAAATATATACGTAGGTGTAGAAGTATGAAACCGGATTTTTTTTGTATAAATTGCGTTATAAGTATTTTTGTTTTTTACGTAGATACTTTTATGTATAAACTTCTTAGGACATAAATGTAAGTCTACAAAAATTATTTCATACATTATTTCGTATATATATTTAAGATGTCTAGTGTTTTCTATGTATAATATCATGTTTGTAAATTTCAAAAGTTATTTATTCAAAATAGGATCCATTGGAATTTATACATTTTTCCCACCTTTTCGGCAGGTTATGAATGCCACGCCAAAAAAAAAAGTGGTTTTTCGATTTTCTTGCTGCCTTTCGTTTAGTTCATGTGGTACCCATTTTCCCACTTTCTGAATCTTTCTCACAGCTTTCAGACGAAGAGATACTGCTTTTTGCGTCACATTTAATTGTTCCACGAGGTCTTGTTGAGTTATTGTTAATTATCGTCTTCATCCAATAAGGCTTGCAAGTCCATGTCTTCGAACTTTTTCGGTGGTTTCCCATGCTCCTCGTTTTTCACGTCAAAATCACCACTTTCAAATTTTTTAAACCACTCAAATCATTGAGTTTTGCCAAGAGCATGTTCACCGTATGCTTCGACAAACATTTTATGCGATTCTGCAGCAGTTTTCTTCAAATGATAGCACTTTCAAATTTTTTAAACCACTCAAATCATTGAGTTTTGCCAAGAGCAAAAACCAATCTTTTTTCAAATGATAGCAGCTGTCCCTAAATCATAATTCGTAGGCACAAAACTTGACATGTTTGAGGTTATGGAAAAATATACCGGTAGTATATGAAACTCGGGTTATTCTATGTTGACAAACTTCATCGGCTGTTAGAGGAAGAAGATGAAGCTACAGAAGCGGTCTTATGGTCTTTAAACTGATGCCGAGCACCATCTATAGGGAAATTCCGATTTCATACTTCTACTGCTCAAAGTACTTGTCAGTTCAGTTGTCCAGTAGGGTAATAACAAATGTTTAAAGTTCACCGTCTATGCCTGTAGATATTCTCAAAAGACTCTAATTTAACACCACATATTTTTATTTTCAGTACAACCTAAAGATACAATTGTAAATAAAGTATGTGTGAATGAAACTCTACCCACAATTGTGTGCACATTACACATAAATGAGAGTACATCTGGGTATTTGTACATAAACTTTGAATCCAGCAATAATGAACTGTGTTGTAAATATTTACTATTTTCATTATACTATATAAAGCGGCATACATACAGTAAGTATCAAATAATATTTCAAATAAGAATAGGCACAGAAACCCTAAGTTGAAGGTAAAGAAGTTCATAATTCTTTTGCTCCTCTGCTTTTTATCCCTAACATGTGAGACGATATTTTTCACTTATGCATGTACATATTTTTAAAGGTGGGATACATAAAATAATTACGAATTAATCTTTTATATAGATAACATTAAACCAAATGTAAATACATATATTTATTAATAGTTGTAAAACGAAAAAATGTATTTTTTTAAATAAATTATATTGTTATGGTATTTTTTTAAGAATTTATAGTTAGCTATATATATTAAATGTATTTCTTTAAAAAAATGCGCTTATTAAAATACGAAACACGTATTTATACCACAGTGGTAGCAATATGGTGAATGCAACTCTTGTCCATATTCCTTATCTCGGATTAAATTGTTCTGTAATTTCTTTCTTTATGTTAAGCTTTAAGTTGAGTAGTGGACCACTGAACCACTACGCTCTCATATGAAATTAAACTTGAGCACATGCTTTTACAGGAGAACCTAAGGATATATACCGTGAATTAAAAATAGACATGAAAAAAGAATGTATTGGTAAGCATTTGTTTACATATATAAAAAAAAAAATATTAAGTGCTGCTCACTCAGTAAGATGTTCTGGTTTGTACATACTAATTAATTATCACGCTCTTCAACTGTTTGTTTTAGAATCAATACAAACCGATTCATTAGTCATTAAAGAAATTACAAAAAAGGACTCAGAAAAAGGAGGTAAGAAAGTTAACCAGTTTTATAACCAATATAAAATGTATATTGTTTCTTGTTAATTTTTAAAATATTATATATGAAATGATTTATTTTAGGCATTTGGAATGGCAAACAAGTTAACCAGGTAGTAAGTGGTAAGTGTCGCCTATATTCATGAACAACACTACGGACATCACACTAACATGTAGCACTTCAGCCCTAACTGGGGATAGAGGTGGGGCAGAGTTGGGCACACCTGTTGGCCATTAAGCCGGACTCTTCTGCGGGGGATAAGAGGAGTAAAAGGATTCTGATCCTTTTGCTGGCGTCTACTCCAGTTCTCTTTACGCTGCCTCCTTTTGCGTAATTCCTCACAGAAGGATGTTACCGCCAGCCACGGCTTGTCGCTATTAACTGTACTGCAAATTACATTCGTCAGCAAGGGGTCGATTCGGTCGGTCTTTATCATACTGACGAGGTGCGATGCCGCTCCGGCTTGTTACGCCGTACTTTCTTCCAGATTATATTACGTCATGTCCTCGTAACCTCCGTAAGCATGGCAACTGATTGTCGGCTCTCTCCTAGTTACATTACACAGATACCGTCCGAAACAGGCATCTCAAGACAGTATCTGTGTCAGCAAATGCCTTAACAACCATCATCGCCTGCCTATCCAGTTTTTAATTGTGATAATACTAGTAGCCCCGCTCATGTTTCGCACAATGTACCACACATTGGTCGCACTTTAGGAGTTTTGTATATATAGGCATACTACATAATAACGTAGATACCTACAAATTGTGAAGTATTTTCTAAAATAGGTGCAGCAGTTCCAGTGTCTACTTTCCTTATAACAAAACTGTTAATAACTATAATATTATATTATACATATATTAAAGATTCACAAAAATCCCAAAAGATTTCGGAGCCCACTGTAATATATAATGAACGGAAATTTTCACATGAATGTACAAGACAATTTGAAGGCAACCAGGATAGTTTGAATATGTACCACCGTCTAAATTACGGTTCGAAAACAGGTAAATATATGAACATTGTATAACTTTTTACTTTTATAGTTACTAATGGAATAAATCCACGTAACTTTCACAGCAAGACTTTCTTTCTTTGTTTTTGTTCTCGAAATAATACTTGGAAATCAGTATTGTATACTTAGTTCACTATTGTTGTTATTAATGGTTTTTTAACCTAAAATAATAGAATGCGTATTATTGTACATATCTTCTATATTTGCATTTTTCTTTTAGATTTAATACTTTTACAAGTATTACCACACTATTCCTTGAAAGTAAACATCGGTTTGTACCATTTTGACAATAACACCAAATTTATATGTAGCGAAACATTAAAAGCGAGTGGAAATAAAAATGAAAGTAATACAGAAGAGGTTAAAACAATATTTGTAAATTTTACGAAAATAAGTAAGACATTATTTTGTTTTTTTTTTTTTGGTAGTTGTGTATAGAGTCCTGGCATATTCGATAAACACAAGTTAAAATATTAATATACTTTTACCGTATTTTCACCTAAGAACACAGTACATGTTATACTTTAGGTACAAAATCTATTGTTTCATATTATGTATTACATATCACATGGTGTTGATTACCTTAAAAATTTGCCTTATTCTAATAAGTAATATAAGTTGTATACTCGTATATACGCTCAATTTCAGAATAATAAACGAGACGCAAGGGGGAGGGATTGTGCAGAATAGTGACTGCAGTAAAAAAAGTACTCATAAATACTCGTGGTACAAAATGTTATAACTGTAAAACTAGTTGCCAGCCCTAGTGCCAGGGTCACACTAAATCCTTTACTTATTGTTAGTGTTGCGTACTATAAAAATAATAATATAATAACTTTTTTGTAAAGGCACCTGTATGGATTATTAAAGTACCCATTTTTCTTGTTATACAGGTATTAAATCGCGGTCTCAGTTAGTTTAAAAACTTTAATAATAACATTTTTTTAGATGCTGAAAATAACAGTGATAAAGAATATATACAGTATTATGAGAATATGACCTACGATATAACGTGTAAAGGTATACATTCAAGGTGGTTATTATTAAACAGTAAGTCCTATTTTTTAATGCATTATTAAAAAATACTGCCATATCCCCTGCTAACGCCCTGAATATTTCACACAGCGCCATCTAGTCCCAAACTAAACAGAACTTGTGTTATGGGTACTGGACAACTAATACAGTTTTTCATACAAACATAATATACATAGAATTCAACTAGGGACCAATACAAATAATCTATTAATAAAGACAAATGTTGTCCATCATGCGAGGAACGGAACCCGCGACCATCGGAAGTGTATGTGTTTCCCCTGAGGCCTGAATTATTTTATCTCCTCCACTAATAGTCCAATGTTACTTTTGACTTTATTGCCGTATGTAAGGCATTTAATTTTGGGGTAAGAAATGGAAAGTTTATATACATATCAATATCCAGCTTATAAAAAATACCATCTTAATAATCTAATTCTTTACAATAATGCTACATAACGTAGTATTGACGTTAGTCTATCTATCCTTTTTATCACATACACTTTCTTTAATGCTTGTCAATAAAATTAAAATTCAGTTCTGTTTAAATTCAATAGTACTAAATATTTTTTTTATATTTCAGAAGATAACATGGTCCTACAAATTCGTGAAGAATTACGTATTAATTTAAACTTTAATTTCAACAGCAACTATTCAAGGCTTATTTGCATTGAATACGAATGCAAAAATTTTAGAGATATAAACACAACAGTATGTACGAGGAGAGTACGAAGAGATTTAAACTTTCTGTCTTACAAGTATCAATCCAATGATAACAATTGTAATCCAGGCAGTGGTAAGTGGAATTTTAATATGTTTAAATTTACAATCTGAAATTTTAAAATTCACTCTTCTGGCAAATGGATATACATTGATTAGAATAAAAAGTATAATCCATTACATTTAAAATTAGTATTCATGGTGCTAAGTAACAGTCATGTGTAACGTGCAACTGTGATGAAACCAGATTAAATTACATTTACTGCTATATATATCCACTGAATATCTCCATCATAACTGACCTGATCTTATGCTTGTCTTATCATCTTCCACTGATGACTCCCCGCCAGAACTATTATCATTCATTTCAAAAAGAATACCCTAGACCACCGGGAATTCCAGTTACCAGTTTTCATTAGGTGAGCAGTGAGCTTGTTTAGAATGTCTAAATGCGTAAATATGTTGTATATGGTAAGTATTACTGCGCCGGATCGGTACCACGGAACGGAACGGACTGACAGACGGAGTGCAACAAAATAATAGACGAATATTTAAAAAACAGATTTAATTACAAAATAAAAATACATACGTAGTACATAGACTCGGGCGACATCTAGTACTGTTAATGTAGGCGCAATGCATATAGAAATAGATCACCGAGCACGAAAAATAGTTCAATATGGCTATTGAACTTGTGTCTAAGCCAATAATAGCCATTTTTCATGTTATGTTGTAGAAGTTAGTGAACAGCACGGATACAGCGACCTAGACAGCTTGTTAGAGATTTCTGTGAACAGTAACAAACATAGCTATATTGTACAATTCAATATTCCGACGAAGACTGTTACAAATATAAATATAGTAGGGCCAATCGACTTCTTTTTTATTGAAGCACTCTTGTTAGCACACTTTGTTCTTCAATATGATATTGAAAACGTAGCCCTTGCAATAGATTTCCAGGGGCTTATAACAAACAATACCTATATATAATTAACAAGAGTGCTTCAATAAAAAAGAAGTCGATTGGCCCCGCTAATATAATGTACCCAAAATCATTTACAAATAAAATTATTAGTATTATTGAATATTCCTATTTCTTTTCAGGTTCAATAATCGCATATATCGTGTTGGTTGGAATAATACTGATTCTTCTATATTTTGTTCTTTGTCGGAAATTCAAGAAACCTCGACCTCCGATGCCTTTGCCAGCGGAAGGAACTGATTCGAACCATATTTTATATTCTGTAGCATATGATCACGTAGTAAGACGCAGATAATAAATACAAAGTGTATTATTACTGGTTGATATTTAAACGTATTAAATTTATTGTAATCTTATTTATGAGACGTGTATTCAACTTTATGCCGGATTTGCTTCCAAGTAAGTCGTCAAATAAAAAGCCGTACATTGCAGTTAAGTTATTTGATAGTAGATAAATACTAAATAGCTGGTATAGTAAATAATGTGCTATGTGTTCAGGAAATTCCAGAGCCGTGATGTTTGTATCTAAATGATAGGGAGATAGGATATAATGAATATAAAGCAATATTATTAAAAACATTATAATATAGAAATTAATATTCGTCGTTTTTATACGCCTTACAGTTTTCCTTGTATTACATTGGTACATAAAAACAGACAAATATAGAATTACTCATTAATTTGATTATTCATTACTCACCAAGTATATCGTATTCCTGAAATATTAGTGTAGACGTGCTTTTGTTTTATTTCTATTAATCTAATAAATATGAAGTCTATTTTATTATACATTATCATATTTTTGTTTATAGTAACTGTGACTTGTGAATCCGGTAAGTATCTTCAAAATAGTTATATAACAAAATAATATAGCGATGATATAATTTGTTCATCAACAGAATGTATTTTTATTATGCCAGAATCGAATTTCTACCTTCCGACATAAGTCGGGGTCGAGAAAACCTCGGCAGTAGTTCATTCCACAATCGAAAGTTACTTCCGATGGTCGCGGGTACGATTCCTCGTATATGCTCGTATATGCTAAACTACCTGACCAGCGAGGCCGTCAGAATAATATCGAAGTATCCAATAAGCCACAATGCTCGCTCTATAATAATTTTATCTGCGTTAATCATTCACAGCTCGATATATATAATAGAGCACGTTCTAAGATTTACATGTTCTCTGAAGAACTGATGTTATGAGATGTCTTGATTTTTTTGGACACTTATCCCTAATATGTTATGTAAAAAAACATATAAATTAATAATTATATAATGATTTCAGAACATGACGTTATAAATTATAGTACTGGTTTTCTAGATCTGAATCTAACTCTAGTGAACATACCCGCAAGAGCTACAACATTTTACTTCCAAGGTTTGTACATTATCGCAGATATCAGAAAGGAGAATGCCTAAAGCAATTCCTATAACTATCTTATCCACAGTTTTCAAGTATAGATGTAGGTAAGAGATAAAATTAGGTTAATGTAAAAGTAGTGAAAGATTCTTATCTAATTAATATATGTCATAAATACCAACTGGATCCCGCAATTCTGCCTACTGATTTTAAATGAAAATTGCCCTATGTGTATTAACTATTGTGTATTACAAAAAGACAGATTCATTCATTCATTCAAGTTTGTGAATTACATGACGTACACGGACACATTCCGTTATTTTACGTAATCTACTTGAAATACCATACATTTATACGAAATTAGACGCGATACTACAGCTTAGTATCGCGTCTAATTTAGTTACCGTCGAACTATATCGTATAATATTGTGTATCTACCACAAGGAAAGCGAATAAGAGAGAATTTGTCGTCACGATTCTCTGTGTTGTAGTTAAACAGAAAAACCAAGGTCTGACGAGGAATCTCTGTTGTCTAATATCTAACATCTTGCACTATAACTATATCTAAGGCTCACAGTCTTGTAAAAGTCCCAATATTTTTTTTGACACTCTTTTATTTTCAGTCAAATCTAAAAATCGATCAGTGAACATAACTGAATGTAAAAGTGAAACTATGCCTAATATACACTGCAAAATATACATAGACGAAAATAAGTGTGGAAATTTATATATAAATGTTGTAACCGGCGATTCTGAATTGTGTAGTGAAATTCTATTACTTGAATTATATTATGGTAGAACCTACACTCATAGTAAGTATTAAATATCCAATCAATTATTACTATTAAAACTTAGGTATTTATGATAGAGTAATCATGTATAGAATATGAGATGATATATTTCACTAATAATATATACATACTAATAATACATACATATTTATTTTTTTACATTCCAAATTTTGCAAAAATACGTTTGTCATAAAAACTGTATCTACTTAATAAAATGTACCTACCACTAAAATAAAACATTGCTATTACTTAATTGTTATAAATTAAAAAAATTCAAATGACAAAACTCGAAATATCGCATTCTAAAAAGTATGACTCAAGAAATATTCTTATAAAAATTATTTGCAAAAGAATATTTCTCAATTCTTAATATTTAGAGCGCAGTTTTTCATTGTCACTTCAATTAATTTCGGGGTTATAAAAAATAATATCTGAGACAAATTTACAACGCACTATAAAATTGTTCTTGCTCTTTTAAAGCATTCATAAAATGTTTAAATATTTTTATTCATTGTTGTCATTTTAAATCTATACAATAAAGTCGTATCTGGCCTTACTATCGTGGCAAGCTTCCTAATCCTATAACAGTTAGATTTGCTCGACACCAATTGATTGAGGTCCAAATAAAAAAAATATAACTTATTGATATTGCGATTACCAGCCTTACAAAGTCGCAGTAGTATATATTTTAGCCAGAGCCAGAGACGAATTCATAGTCAGTCTTTTAGTTTAGCATTATCTTCTGAGAGACTCCCTAACTTGCTGTAAACTTTATCGCCATGAAATTACATTTTATTTTAACTATTTGTTTTTATAAGAATTCGTAAACTGCGTTGATACGAGTATGTCAGTCAGTCAGTAAAATTCTAGTTTTATTAAAACTAAGATATCTCCTAAAGTATTCGTTAAAATCAAATGCCGTAAATCACAATTTTGTTCAAAATTAATGACTTATAATAAATAACGTATTTATTTGCTTAAAGATCAATATCAAAAATAGCTTCGTAAATATTCATTTTAAAAATGAACAGTTCATTACACATTTAATGTAATTTTAACCGTTTACGCGGATGCACTTAAAACAAATATTTTTTGCAACATTTTTCATGCTCCTGTTGGTCGTAGCATGATAGCCTATAGCACTCGGAGATAATATATCTTAGATACAATGAAACAATTTTTAAAATTGAATCAGCAGAACCGGAGATAACCTCGAATAAATAAACATACAAACTTTACGACTTTCTAATATCTATTACAAAAATTGTTTAATAATTTTATTCCAGTCGTACACATAGAAATATTATCTGTTACTCTCACATTTTTGTTAAGTATTAGGCGCAGCTTAATCGAGAACTGGGTGTATATATAGGTACATTAGCGATGAGGTGGCGTGAGTTTATACCCTAGACTGGGGGGAAAGACGATTGTTAGTAATGTGGATAAAGAACCCTAGCAATTTGCTAGCAATGTATGACATATTTGGCCAGGTTAACCTTCACGCCATTTCCTCTGGAAACCATCATAACAAATTCCTGGTGGATAGAACTATTACAGAAATCAATGACGACCTCAGTATTATTTCCGAGTGGGCATCATGTAATAATTTAATATTGAATCCCAAAAAATCTCAATACATTGTTTTGGGTCCCCAATGTCAGTGTCAGTATGTAGTAAATCACAGCCAAACATAGTTGTATGTAGACAACCAGTGGAAAGAGTAAACTTGGTGAGAAATCTAGGGCTCATGTTGGACAGCGGTCTGCGCTATGAAGAACATATAAACATGAAAACCAGAATTGCATTTTATAAACTGAAAGTGCTCTACGGATTAAGAGAATACTTATCTGAAAAGGTTAGAGTGACACTTGTAGAAACACTGGTTTTGTCGCAATTCAATTACTGTGATACTGTCTACGGGCCTAGACTGCTGGCACGGACATCTAGCGCTGTACACAGAGTACAAAATTCGTCCACCTGTTTCTGCTACAGTATGCCACGGCGAGCTCGTATCACCCCATTCTTAAATAAAAATACAGTATTGAAAATGGTCCAACGGAGAATACTTCACCTCACAAGCCTGATTCACTAAGTGGTACATAGAAAGAAACCAGAGTATCTCTATGACAAATTCACCTGGATGAGTGATCTACATTCCTTCAACACTCGAAACCAATACAAAACGCAAATGTCGTTACCGATACATAGGAGGGCAGCAACTAGAGGAGGTTTTAAGTTCTCTGCGGCCAAAATATGGAATGATTTGCCTCCGCCTCTTCAAGTTGAAATGTCCCAATTTAGTTTTAAGTATTGATTAAAACTAGACGAGAATTACTAGACAACTAAATTAAACGAAAACTTAGTTGAAATAAGAGTGACCTTCTAAAAAATAATAAAAAAAGCTAATATTATCCAATATAATTTATATGTATATACTTATATTCTTATTCTTCTTCTCAGCTACACATCCTATTTATTTATTTTACGATGCAATATTTCATCTATATTTATATCTCTTTGTTATTTGAATTTCTATGTTTTAATTGTAAAAAATTGTAAAAATTATCAATTCTTGGACAGTGAAGTAGCTCGCATAATTTTATATTTCGTTAAGTGAGAGGGACTGACTGAAAATCAGCGCTGTGCGCCGTATATGTAAACGTTACGCTCACAGCATCAGCTGAGTCAGCCCTTTTTGTCCAGAATAAGCAGTATGAGGTACTACTGTTGCTATTTTATATGTAGTTTAAGAGGTTATTTTTTTTATAATTTTTATTCAACAAACAGTGTATGAACTCAAATGTGTATCTATCTTTTATTCTGGCAATAAATAATAATAATTATTATTATTATTATCATCTTATGCTTGTCTTGTCATCTTCCACTGATGACTCCCCACCAGCATATACCATTAGTGCAAGCGGATGTACCAAAACATTATCATCCATTTCAAAAGAATACCCTAGACCAGTGTTTCCCAATTAGTGGTACGCGTACACCCAGGGGTACGTGAAGTTGCATCAAGGGGTACGTGCGGCTATCAGTAAAACAAACACACACACCCACACACTCAAACTTTCACATTTATACTATTAGTGTGATTGCTACAATAAGGGTACGCAAGGTTTGAGGTATTTTTTGAAGTGGTACGCAGCAAAAACCATTTGGGGACCACTGCCCTAGACTACTGAGAATTCATAAATATAATTCACAATTACGTACTATATATAAGGAAACTAGCTGTTGCCCGCGGCTTTGCTCGCGTTAATTTATCCCCTTAGGGGTGGAATTTATCAAAATCCTTTTTCATCACAATCACAAAGCTTCTTTGACGTAGGATAAGTTCCCCTAGAACTTATCCTACGTCATAGTAGCTTTGTGCATGCAAAGTTTCAGCCCGATCGGTTTAAAATTGGCAAACTTTCATACAAACTTTCATTCCCTATTTTAACCCTATTTTTACCTTGGGGGGTAGAAATAATCAAAATCCTTTCTTAGCGGATGCCTACGTCATAACATGTACCTGCATGCCAAATTTCAGCCTGATCCGTCCAGTGGTTTGGGCTGTGTGTTGATAGATCACTATGTCAGTCACCTTTGTTATATGTATACATTTAGATATAAATAATAAAAATAACTCTTCTCAGCACGCCCTTTGCCCATTTCAATTCACACCCATATCTTTCACAGGAGATAGTATTCAACGTGTTTGCGAAAAGGATATGAAGAATGTATGTAATGCTACAGATGAGACAGTATTATATAATAATAGTACTGGTACTGGTAAGCATTCTAAGCCTGTCTACGAATTGATTAAAAATTTGATTCCAGTTGACATAGAAATATTATCTGTTAATATTATTTTGATAGTAATGTGGACTACTAACCGCAATACTAGCAATGTACCATGTCAGGTAGACCTCCGCGCCGTTCCTCTGGAATATATTATCACAAATTCCTGATAAACTTGCCACGATGGGCTAACTGACCTTATCTTATGCTTTATGCTTGTCTTAAATTGTAAGCCTAAGTGTAAAATGTTTTAAAATATAGAGCCAGTGTTACGTTTTTCATAGATTTTGAATCCTAAAAAATATTTTTTTTTATTGTAAATAAGTTTGCGCTTGGTCTTACCAATGGTCTTGATCTGGTCTGGTCTGGTCATCTTATGGAATAATGGTGGCGAGACCTAGGATGTACTTACCCAGAAGAAATCTATTCACCCCAGACTTGAAGGTTAGATCACTAATGTGAACGATCAGGAAAAACGACCACAGCTACTGAAAGCGTTATACTTCCAGTAGATCGTGTTTCCACACTGAATGTTTGTGGTTTCGGAAACTTACTTAAGTAAAAAAACTTACTTGAGCAAAATAATACAAATCCAAACATCATACTTATACTGATATGATATCTACATATAGTATATTCTTCATAGTTCTTCGTGATATGATATTACGAAGAAGAGGCGTGAAGAATATAATATAGAATTGAAAGAAAAGAAAACTTGACCAAAACTGGCAAATTTTATTTCTTATTGAAGCTAACTGGTTTTTAAATGTTTGATTGAATGTAGGTAACAATTTTTTTCAGTGTCCATAATAACATTTGTGGTGTTGGTTGGAATAATACTGATTCTACTGTCTGCGCTGCTTTATTGCATTTTCAAGAAACCCCGACCTCCAATGCCTTTGCCGGAACAAGCAACTGACTCAAACATTTTATATTCTGAAATATATGATCACATAAATCGCAGATAATATAACATATATTAATAAGGGTTGGGTTGATGTTATATGAAATTTTAACATATTTAAAGAACGCTTAACTACATATTTAAGCGTTCTGCCTAGCTTGAGGTACAGGTAATTTTGCTTGGCACTGTGTGAATTGTTTAGGCTTATTATTAATACTACGTATAAAATATATAATTTTAAATATAAATATAATTACAATAGTAATGTTAGACATTAAAATATACAAATCAAATATAATAATATGTTTATATGTATGCTACAATTAAGTGAAGTTGGTTGTAGGTAATCAAATGGAAGAATGTTGCGTAATTACAGGTATTACACCTGAAGTATAAGTATCACTGCTCTCTTGTAACATGTACTGTAAATATACAGATAATTTAGTGTTTTGGCTACGTCGCCTTTCACATAAAAGATAAATGTATCTATAGAGTATAATTCTCATAAGAGCAGTGCCAACTCTCGTAAAAGTTTGTTAAATTGCTCTGTAACAGTTTTATTTTCTTATCTTTTATCGTTTTTGTTTATTTATTATAGCAATTTCTAATGTTTTTTGTATATTTTTAGTATAGTCACTGATAATATAATAGGGTTGGTTAGATGCGGCGGCCTTGTTACATGGGTCTTTGCGTGTGTCCCTGAATAGTACTTGAAAATTAGAAATTAGTGATTTTCCTTGTGAGTGTGCCGTTAACGCAAATAAAAGATTTATCTATTTAACTATCTTTTTTTCTTTTTTCTTTTCTTCAGGTTTTTGCACAGTGTTTCGATTTTAAGGATCTTTGCTTATAACATCTTTAATTATTATATTATTCACTATATTATTGAAATTTATTCCAAATTCGAACCTCTAATATTATATCATATTCGATCTATATTAATTCGAATAAAAAGCGTATTTTTTGAATAATCAATTCTATAATTTTTTTAGATAATTAAAATTACAAACAATCTGTCGGTCCACCTGATGGTAAGTGGTAATCTTGCCTAGATATATCAACAGCACTACGACATTACGTTATCATGTGAAACCGTATCCGTGGTGCCAGTCACGTCGTAACGTCGAGAGAGGTGAACATCTTTATTTACTACAAAATTTCCTCTTCTCTGAATTCTTATACTTAGAAACTATATGTTTCAAAGTATGAAAAAAATAATCTAGAAGTTATGACACATAAAATACAAGCATAACTGACGGCCATGGTGGCCTAGCGGTTTAGCACACCACTTTATTTTTGACGGTCGCAGGTTCGAATCTTCGCACAGTACAAACATTTGTATTCCTGCGTATTATTTTTTATATAGGTCAGCGTTTTCCTATGTAATAGTACATATGTATTTACAAAAAATAACCTATCTAACTATATCTATTAGTTGTCTAGTACCCATAACACAAGCTCTGCTTAGCTTGGGATTATAGTTTTTTAAACACGGAAACTAATTTGACAGGGGTAAATGTCAAATTAATATCTAAATATAATATCTAACTTTATTTATTTTATGTTAATGTAATTTTAAACAACAAACCTACACATTCTTTACGATTAACATATAAAAATGGGTGGGTAACTAATATTAATTTTCGATAGCACCACATACTTATTTAAAAATTTCAAAAACCTGCTAACATCGTTAATGTCACATTTGTCTCCTGGAATAAAATAAACTATAGATGGCGCTGTGTGAATTGTCCAAGAATAATATGATTATTAGTATTATATTAGCTACACACTTTATAAATCGGTTGAAACGATAAGTTAGTCCTACTATTATATATTGAGATTCTCCTCAATGTGAGTCATCTCAAACCTGACTTGACGTGTACATATTAATCATAATACCTAGTTATTTTATTGTATAATTATAACAAATGTTGCGTGGGTTATTTCAGTGACACAAAATGGTGTATTCTGTGTGTTATTTAAAATTAATATTAACGTACTTAATATGTACTGCATTATATAATAAATCGGTAATGGGCACAGCCAATAGTCTACCCCGTAAGTACCTACTCTTGCACTGTATTATGACTACATGATTTTGTGTACTATCATAGATAATATAATATTACAGTACTATTATACATATTACTGTACATAATGTAATGTAATAAACTACAATGTCTGTCTAGTTCTAGTTTCGAGTGTGTTCTTAAAGCATTTGTATAAGTTTTTTTATTGGATGACAATAGAATTGTTAACCCGCCGGAGCTATACGTTTACGCTAGCGGGGAATCAGTGAATGATGAGGTCAGGTAAGTTACCACATCGTGACATATTCACCTGAAATAGAATAGAATAGAATAGAAAATCATTTATTCAAATAAACTTACATTGAAGCACTTTTGAAGAGACATCACATTTTTTTAATCTACCGCTCATTCGGAAAGCTTTCTCGTCACAAGAAGAACGAGCAAGAAACTTGCGTTTTGCTCTTTTAAATAATTTTATTCTTACTTTACATTTTTAAGTTTAAGTGTGTGAATACAAACCACCAATTAGCACTAATTCAATTAAATACTAAAATAGAAAAATATTGAATATATAACCAACTGGTTAAACAATTAGTAAGAGGAAATCAGTCATAGTGATTAGAGCAGACCAGTCTCTACAAGCAGCATCCGTTCACGAGTATGACGGATGAGTTAGCCAACACTGCGCTCGACCATATTTTAGGGAGCCCAATGACCCGGCCCACCACGCCGCACCGCCACAAGTCTGGACATTTTAGTGAGCATGACTACTCAAAACACTAGACCACGTCATAGCTACTTACAATTGCCGTCTGATAGTTCACCAATCCATCACCAAGCCGTGGATAAGGTTTTAAGCCGTCTTAAAGTTTGATCTACCCAAACTTGGTTGGAAACGAACGATGTTCCGAACTTGATCAAAACTGAAGACTGACCTATTTAATTTAAAAGTTGCTGTCGTTGTGTTTTTTTTTTAATACGAACTCTTTTTCGTTTTATTTCTATTTCTTAAAATATAGTTATAGTCCAGAGGAAGTTTTATTATAAATACGGTATGTAAACTGATATACAATGACGCTATAATTATCTGCATTAATGTTTGATTTTAGGAGACCTAGAAATTATAAATTATGGTGCTGACTTTCTACATCTGAATTTAACTTTCCAGAAATTACCCGCATTAGCTACAAAATTTTACTTTCAAGGTTTGTACTTATACAACACGGCTTTATGAATGCACGCTAAAGAAATTGTTGAAATTTAAATACAATTTTACAACCTTGTAGGTCTAGCGGTATTCCACGCCGCGCCGTTTTACTTTCGAAGGTCACAAATTCGATTCATCGGGCTCTACAAACATTTGTATTCATGAACATGTTTATTTGTATCAGTCTCGAGTGTTTTCTATGTATAATATGTAGATATTTACAAAAAATATATACGTAGGTGTAGAAGTATGAAACCGGATTTTTTTTGTAAAAATTGCATGTTTGTATTTTGAAAATTTCAAAAGTTATTTATTCAAAATAGGATCCATTGGAATTTATACATTTTTCCCACCTTTTCGGCAGGTTATGAATGCCACGCCAAAAAAAAAAGTGGTTTTTCGATTTTCTTGCTGCCTTTCGTTTAGTTCATGTGGTACCCATTTTCCCACTTTCTGAATCTTTCTCACAGCTTTCAGACGAAGAGATACTGCTTTTTGCGTCACATTTAATTGTTCCACGAGGTCTTGTTGAGTTATTATTAATTATCGTCTTCATCCAATAAGGCTTGCAAGTCCATGTCTTCGAACTTTTTCGGTGGTTTCCCATGCTCCTCGTTTTTCACGTCAAAATCACCACTTTCAAATTTTTTAAACCACTCAAATCATTGAGTTTTGCCAAGAGCATGTTCACCGTATGCTTCGACAAACATTTTATGCGATTCTGCAGCAGTTTTCTTTTTTTCAAATGATAGCAGAAAACCAATGCTGTCCGCAAATCATAATTCGTAGGCACAAAACTTGACATGTTTGAGGTTATGGAAAAATATACCGGTAGTATATGAAACTCGGGTTATTCTATGTTGACAAACTTCATCGGCTGTTAGAGGAAGATCTGCGGGCATGAAGCTACAGAAGCGGTCTTATGGTCTTTAAACTGATGCCAAGCACCATCTATAGGGAAATTCCGATTTCATACTTCTACTGCTCAAAGTACTTGTTAGTTCAGTTGTCCAGTAGGGTAATAACAAATGTTTAAAGTTCACCGTCTATGCCTGTAGATATTCTCAAAAGACTCTAATTTAACACCACATATTTTTATTTTCAGTACAACCTAAAGATACAATTGTAAATAAAGTATGTGTGAATGAAACTCTACCCACAATAGTGTGCACATTACACATAAATGAGAGTACATCTGGATATTTGTACATAAACTTTGAATCCAGCAATAATGAACTGTGTTGTAAATATTTACTCTTTTCATTATACTATATAAAGCGGCATACATACAGTAAGTATCAAATAATAATTCAAATAAGAATAGGCACAGAAACCCTAAGTTGAAGGTAAAGAAGTTGTATGTGAGACGATATTCTTCACTTATGCATGTACATATTTTTAAAGGTGGGATACATAAAATAATTACGAATTAATCTTTTATATAGATAACATTAAACCAAATGTAAATACATATATTTATTAATAGTTGAAAAACGAAAAAATTTATTTTTTTAAATAAATTATATTGTTATGGTATTTTTTTAAGAATTTATAGTTAGCTGTATATATTAAATGAATTTCTTTAAAAAAATGCGCTTATTAAAATACGAAACACGTATTTATACCACAGTGGTAGCAATATGGTGAATGCAACTCTTGTCCATATTCCTTATCTCGGATTAAATTGTTCTGTAATTTCTTTCTTTATGTTAAGCTTTAAGTTGAGTAGTGGACCACTGAACCACTACGCTCTCATATGAAATTAAACTTGAGCACATGCTTTTACAGGAGAACCTAAGGATATATACCGTGAATTAAAAATAGACATGAGAAAAGAATGTATTGGTAAGCATTTGTTGTTATATATAAAAAATAAAAATATTAAGTGCTGCTCACTCAGTAAGATGTTCTGGTTTGTACATACTAATTAATTATCATGCTCTTCTACTGTTTGTTTTAGAATCAATACAAACCGATCCATTAATCATTAAAGAAATTACAAAAAAGGACTCAGAAAAAGGAGGTAAGAAAGTTAACCAGTTTTATAACCAATATAAAATGTATATTGTTTCTTGTTAATTTTTAAAATATTATATATGAAATGATTTATTTTAGGCATTTGGAATGGCAAACAAGTTAACCAGGTAGTAAGTGGTAAGTGTCGCCTATATTCATGAACAACACTACGGACATCACACTAACATGTAGCACTTCAGCCCTAACTGGGGATAGAGGTGGGGCAGAGTTGGACACACCTGTTGGCCATTAAGCCGGACTCTTCTGCGGGGGATAAGAGGAGTAAAAGGATTCTGATCCTTTTGCTGGCGTCTACTCCAGTTCTCTTTACGCTGCCTCCTTTTGCGTAATTCCTCACAGAAGGATGTTACCGCCAGCCACGGCTTGTCGCTATTAACTGTACTGCAAATTACATTCGTCAGCAAGGGGTCGATCTTTATCATACTGATGAGGTGCGATGCCGCTCCGGCTTGTTACGCCGTACTTTCTTCCAGATTATATTACGTCATGTCCTCGTAACCTCCGTAAGCATGGCAACTGATTGTCGGCTCTCTCCTAGTTACATTACACAGATACCGTCCGAAACAGGCATCTAAGACAATCTGTGTCAGCAAATGCCTTAACAGCCATCATCGCCTGCCTATCCAGTTTTTAATTGTGATAATACTAGTAGCCCTGCTCATGTTTCGCACAATGTACACACATTGGTCGCACTTTAGGAGTTTTGTATATATAGGCATACTACATAATAACGTAGATACCTACAAATTGTGAAGTATTTTCTAAAATAGGTGCAGCAGTTCCAGTGTCTACTTTCCTTATAACAAAACTGTTAATAACTATAATATTATATTATATATTAAAGATTCACAAAAATCCCAAAAGATTTCGGAGCCCACTGTAATATATAATGAACGGAAATTTTCACATGAATGTACAAGACAATTTGAAGGCAACCAGGATAGTTTGAATATGTACCACCGTCTAAATTACGGTTCAAAAACAGGTAAATATATGAACATTGTATAACTTTTTACTTTTAGAATAGAATAGAAAATCATTTATTCAAATAAACTTACATTGAAGCACTTTTGAATAGTCATTACATTTTTTAATCTACCACTCGTTCGGAAAGCTGTCTCATCACAAGAAGAACGAGCAAGAAACTTGCGTGTTGCTCTTTTAAATAATTTATTATTACTTTACATTTTTAAGTTTAAGTGTGTGAATACAAACCACCAATTAGCACTAATTCTATTAAATACTCAAATAGAAATAATATTGAATATATAACCAACTGGTTAAACAATTAATAAGAGGAAATCAGTCATAGTGATTAGAGCAGACCAGTCCCTACAAGCAGCACCCGTTCACGAGTATGACGGATGAGCCAGCCATCACTGCGCTCGACCATATTTTAGGGAGCCCAATGACCCGGCCCACCACGCCGCCACAAGTCTGGACATTTTAGTGAGCATGACTACTCAAAACACTAGACTACGTCAAAGCTACTTACAATTGCTATCTGATACTTATAGTATTCACATTTTACATAAGAATGCATGTGGCAATAATACAAAAACCGCTCTTTCATATTTTAAAATCAATCAATTAAATCAAGAAAGTTGAGAAAATTAAATTATAACGTTGTATGCTAATAAACTAGTTAACTTGATATTTGTTTATGAATTCGTCTATCCTGTAATAGTGCTTTCTTACACAAAAATTGTTTAATATAGGATTTGAATTGCCTCTCTGTCAGATTTAGTAGATTCTGGCAGTTTATTATAAAATAGTTACGCAATTACCATAGAATGAATTACTGACTTTGTGCAGGCGGCATTTAGGTAAAATTACTTATTTTTAATGCGTAATTAATTATTCTATTTGTACAGTCTTTAAGTTTTCTAAATTATCTAAATTCTTCCGTGTATACATGATACTCATTGTATTGTGAATAACTGAGGATATTTGAATCTTTAAAACACTGAAATGACTCTCTTGAACCCATACCATAAATAGAACGTTTTCTTTTGTAAAATAAATATAGTATTTATATCAACACTGCTTTATGAATGTATACCTAATGACATAATGCTATGGAAATAACTAAAGTATACAATTTAGCCGTACCACGTCTGTTAATTGCCTATTCTTCTAATTGCATATGCAGCTGCTGAGTCTTTAATTTTGAAATATGGGGTCATTGTAAATTCGAGTCCATCTGTTATACCTAAAAAAACTGTATCATTAACAAAATTTACTATTTCATCATTAAGCAATAACTGTGTATTTATGTCTTACATAGTGTAAATTTTATAAACTTTGTTTTGCTCGGTTAGGTGTACAATAATAGGTTATTACATGTAAACCAATTTAATATAGCAGACATAGCACAATTTACATCGTAATTGATTAGTTTGACGTCCAATTTTAAAATTTAACGAAGTATATTTATTCAAACAGCACTATATCTGCAATTTTCTCTACCATAAAGGGAAGGTTATTTATGTAAATTAAAAAAAAAGGGGTTAAGATTGACCCTTGTTTTCCAATATTGCTCCCTTTCGATTTTATGTCAATATCTACATTTTGAACCCTTTAAATAAGTTCTCATTAATTTTAGATCATTATCTTTTATACCATAATGTTCGAGCTTGTAGAAACTGCTTTTTATGATCACGCAATCAAATGCCTTTGATAGGTCACAAAAAACGAGTGCATCCTGTTGACTTTCCCATGTTAAATATGTCTTATCGCTACATAAGACTTGCCAGCGGTGAAACCATATTGTTGACTGTTTCGGTTATCCCTAAAGTGTTGTAACATTTGATTTAACATTTCTTTTCAAACACCTTACTTAGAATTTTTTAAAATAGATATATATAGTTCCCTGCTCAAATTTATCACCTGATTTAAATAGTGGTATTAATTTGCTAAATTTCATTAATTGTGGAAAAGTGCCATTATCAATACATTTTTAAAAATGATAGCTAGATATGGACAACAATATCTATGAAAGAACTAACTACTTTTACAGACATGCCCCAAAAGGTCTTCTGTATTTTTTAAATTTAGATGTTTGAATATTTTTATGATATGAAAAATAACATGTGAAAATTTAAATCTTAAAGCATGAAACCGATATTAGACTCTAGTAATACAAACTTTTGCTCGAGATGGAGATGAGTCCAGAGAAGATGTAATGTTAATCGGAATGTTAGCAAAAAAATCTTCAAAAACATTAACTACATCTTTTGTTGCTGTTATTAATTTATTATCATAATTTAATGCAAATTGATTATAGGCTAATTTAGATCTTCCGGTTTCTTATTTATAATGCCCCAGATGGTTTTAATTTTGTCAGAAGACTGGTTAATTTGTTTATTAATATAATTGATTTAGCCGTAATACAAACTTTTTTAAAAATTTTTGAATAATTTTTCACATAAGTGGTGAATTTGACATCAAATCGATATTTTTTTTGATCGTATAAATCAAACAAAATACTACTTGTAAGTATACCTACTGTTGCCCATTCCGTGAATTTAGATTTAACATAAACTTCTTTTTTCTTGAAAAATTGTGTCATATTCTCCTGATAGAATAGTAATTAGCTTGGTGTAAAGATAATCAGGATTATTACTAGATTGTAACAGCAAATATTTATTTTTAATCGCGCTTTTGTATTTGTTAATATTGTAAACATTTATTTGTCTTTTTGATTTTTTATTATTGTTGACTTTATTGATACTGTTAAACTTAACAACTTGACCACAGTGATCTGAAGGAAGTTTATTTATTATGAATTTTTCTGTATACTCACAGTTACAAAAAACATTGTCAAGACAAGTAGCAGACGTGGCAGTTACACGAGTGGGTTCATGAAAGACATGACTTAAATCAAATGATTGAAATAAACTAATAATTTTTGTACATGTGGGTGTGTTACAAAGAATATCAACGTTTTCCACATACAATAATTTTTTTATACTATTAAATATTTTTTTTAATATATCCTCCATCACCCCTTCAAATACATTGTAATCACTATTTCTGTAAAACATATAAGGATATAATTTTCTAGTTCTATACAAGATAATTCTATAAACACTCAATAGAAAGTCTAACAATGTCAGCACGTTCCTTTACTTTAATATTATTTCTTGCAATTATCATAGACCCGCCTCTGTTAACTGACTTTCTATTGAAGCAGCTGACAACGTTATAATTATTTAAATTGAACATCATATTGCTCTCTTTAAGCCAATGTTCTGTGAAACAGACAATATCAATATTATACTTTTCTAAAAATAATTGTATAATTAACTCGCTGCCGGGAAAACTTTGTATGTTCTGATGAACAATGATTTATTCTGATTGCTTTCCCTCTGTCTGTGTGAGCAGTTTAAATCTGCAGTCATAGTATTTATGTCACAAATATTAATAGAATTATTTGTTATGTCAGTATTTTTTTTTATGTTTAAGTTTACCATGTAAACTGTTCATGTAGTCAATATTATAAGCCACTAAAGTGGCTATTTTATTTTTAGATAATTTAGAGAGATACATTGTATCTTTTGTCAAATAAAAATCACTAATAAAACTATTATATCAAAAAATGTAAAAATGTCACTATGACGACATGTCAATGTATGTAATAAGTTGTTTTAATATACCTTACTGTTAATTTTTTTATGAAGATGTCCTTTTGTGTAAGGAAAAGCGCACAATACAATCTTATACACATTTAATTGTAATAAATATTCAATTCCTTTAATTACATCCTGCCTATTTAATTGAATACTATTACCAAAAATAACACAATTGTGGTCATATTGTTCATTTTCGTAGACTTTATTTTATTTATTATTTGTGTAAATGATGCTTCTGGCATACAGTAGTTTAATAAATCACCCTTAAGATGATACTTCAAAATAGACCCAAAGTTACAGCCTATTCTGTCAGAGAACACCATTGTGCTACTCTTAGGGTTACAGTCACTGGCACAAACACCCTGAACTTCATTTTCCAGCACAGTTACAACTGAATTATTATTTGATATATTTGTGTGATTACATGTACAATGCTTAGTCAACGACTCAAAACGGTCAGCATTGTATTTACTGACATCAATCAGATCATCCATTGCTAAAATATGCTCCTGGATTTGTTTCTGAGAGATAATATACTTTGTATTTAAATCATAAAGCGAAGATTCTAAACTATTGATTTTTGAAGTTAGGTAGTCTGTATCAATGTCATATAACTTTTGGCTTTCCAATAACTTATTATTACACTTATTAATATAATCAGCAATTTTAAATTATTTAAAGTATTTCTTTTCAATAACTGTCCCTTTTTGCAACGCTTATTTAATATATTCCGATTCTTAATTATAAACTTTTTTAGTTTCAAATATTTTTTAATTTATTATTACTCAACATACAAATGTTACTGTTATAGTTGCCTCTTTAGGTGATGTATCACTAGTAAGGTCAATTACAACAGGATGGGTGCATGGAACTGTAGTAGAAGGAGGCACACAGTCAACACTAATAAGTTCCTCATATAAATTACTAATCTCATTATTTTGTTGAGATTCCAATCTTGTGTCTAGATCATTGATTTTAGAATATGCCACACTTTAACTCAAGCTCCAATTCAGTGATATAAGGCTTGCTCATGAGTGTCACTACATTGATGAAAGCTACTTATTAGTTCTTGAAGCTGATCCCGCTGCTCAATAACTTCCTGATGGCTATTATGAAGTTCTACAATTTGATTTTAAGTTAAAATTTTTATATTATAATTTTTAAAATTTCATCTTCACTCTCTTCTCTCTCCCTGATCAACTTGTCACTGAGATCTTTGGATGCCTGAAGTTATTGTAGGGCCACGGAAGCTTCATCTCTGTCTGCCAAGAAAAGTTGTGGAACAGGTAGATAGTGACATTATTGTAATATATGAATAGTTACGAGGAATAGTAAATATATCATATATTGTATAATAAATACTTTTATAGTTACTAATGGAATAAATCCACGTAACTTTCACAGCAAGACTTTCTTTCTTTGTTTTTGTTCTCGAAATAATACTTGGAAATCAGTATTGTATACTTAGTTCACTATTGTTGTTATTAATGGTTTTTTAACCTAAAATAATAGAATGCGTATTATTGTACATATCTTCTATATTTGCATTTTTCTTTTAGATTTAATACTTTTACAAGTATTACCACACTATTCCTTGAAAGTAAACATCGGTTTGTACCATTTTGACAATAACACCAAATTTATATGTAGCGAAACATTAAAAGCGAGTGGAAATATAAATGAAAGTAATACAGAAGAGGTTAAAACAATATTTGTAAATTTTACGAAAATAAGTAAGACATTATTTTTTTTTTTTTTTTTTGGTAGTTGTGTATAGAGTCCTGGCATATTCGATAAACACAAGTCAAAATATTAATATACTTTTACCGTATTTTCACCTAAGAACACAGTACATGTTATACTTTAGGTACAAAATCTATTGTTTCATATTATGTATTACATATCACATGGTGTTGATTACCTTAAAAATTTGCCTTATTCTAATAAGTCTAATATAAGTTGTATACTCGTATATACGCTCAATTTCAAAATAATAAACGAGACGCAAGGGGGAGGGATTGTGCAGAATAGTGACTGCAGTAAAAAAAGTACTCATAAATACTCGTGGTACAAAATGTTATAACTGTAAAACTAGTTGCCAGCCCTAGTGCCAGGGTCACACTAAATCCTTTACTTATTGTTAGTGTTGCGTACTATAAAAATAATAATATAATAACTTTTTTGTAAAGGCACCTGTATGGATTATTAAAGTACCCATTTTTCTTGTTATACAGGTATTAAATCGCGGTCTCAGTTAGTTTAAAAACTTTAATAATAACATTTTTTTAGATGCTGAAAATGACAGTGATAAAGAATATATACAGTATTATGAGAATATGACCTACGATATAACGTGTAAAGGTATACATTCAAGGTGGTTACTATTAAACAGTAAGTCCTATTTTTTAATGCATTATTAAAAAATACTGCCATATCCCCTGCTAACGCCCTGAATATTTCACACAGCGCCTAGGGACTGGGACTAGATCCCAAACTAAACAGAACTTGTGTTATGGGTACTGGACAACTAATACAGTTTTTCATACAAACATAATATACATAGAAATCAACTAGGGACCAATACAAATAATCTATTAATAAAGACAAATGTTGTCCATCGTGCGAGGAACGGAACCCGCGACCATCGGAAGTGTATGTGTTTCCCCTGAGGTCTGAATTATTTTATCTCCTCCACTAATAGTCCAATGTTACTTTTGACTTTATTGCCGTATGTAAAGCATTTAATTTTGGGGTAAGAAATGGAAAGTTTATATATCAATATCCAGCTTATAAAAAATACCATCTTAATAATCTAATTCTTTACAATAATGCTACATAACGTAGTATTGACGTTAGTCTATCTATCCTTTTTATCACATACACTTTCTTTAATGCTTGTCAATAAAATTAAAATTCAGTTCTGTTTAAATTCAATAGTACTAAATATTTTTTTCATATTTCAGAAGATAACATGGTCCTACAAATTCGTGAAGAATTACGTATTAATTTAAACTTTAATTTCAACAGCAACTATTCAAGGCTTATTTGCATTGAATACGAATGCAAAAATTTTAGAGATATAAACACAACAGTATGTACGAGGAGAGTACGAAGAGATTTAAACTTTCTGTCTTACAAGTATCAATCCAATGATAACAATTGTAATCCAGGCAGTGGTAAGTGGAATTTTAATATGTTTAAATTTACAATCTGAAATTTTAAAATTCACTCTTCTGGCAAATGGATATACATTGATTAGAATAAAAAGTATAATCCATTACATTTAAAATTAGTATTCATGGTGCTAAGTAACAGTCATGTGTAACGTGCAACTGTGATGAAACCAGATTAAATTACATTTACTGCTATATATATCCACTGAATATCTCCATCATAACTGACCTGATCTTATGCTTGTCTTATCATCTTCCACTGATGACTCCCCGCCAGAACTATTATCATTCATTACAAAGAGAATACCCGGTGGTCTAACCGGGAATTCCAGTTACCAGTTTTCATTAGGTGAGCAGTGAGCTTGTTTAGAATGTCTAAATGCGTAAATATGTTGTATATGGTAAGTATTACTGCGCCGGATCGGTACCACGGAACGGAACGGACTGACAGACGGAGTGCAACAAAATAATAGACGAATATTTAAAAAACAGATTTAATTACAAAATAAAAATACATACGTAGTACATAGACTCGGGCGACATCTAGTACTGTTAATGTAGGCGCAATGCATATAGAAATAGATCACCGAGCACGAAAAATAGTTCAATATGGCTATTGAACTTGTGTCTAAGCCAATAATAGCCATTTTTCATGTTATGTTGTAGAAGTTAGTGAACAGCACGGATACAGCGACCTAGACAGCTTGTTAGAGATTTCTGTGAACAGTAACAAACATAGCTATATTGTACAATTCAATATTCCGACGAAGACTGTTACAAATATAAATATAGCAGGGCCAATCGACTTCTTTTTTATTGAAGCACTCTTGTTAGCACACTTTGTTCTTCAATATGATATTGAAAACGTAGCCCTTGCAATAGATTTCCAGGGGCTTATAACAAACAATACCTATATATAATTAACAAGAGTGCTTCAATAAAAAAGAAGTCGATTGGCCCCGCTAATATAATGTACCCAAAATCATTTACAAATAAAATTATTAGTATTATTGAATATTCCTATTTCTTTTCAGGTTCAATAATCGCATATATCGTGTTGGTTGGAATAATACTGATTCTTCTATATTTTGTTCTTTGTCGGAAATTCAAGAAACCTCGACCTCCGATGCCTTTGCCAGCGGAAGGAACTGATTCGAACCATATTTTATATTCTGTAGCATATGATCACGTAGTAAGACGCAGATAATAAATACAAAGTGTATTATTACTGGTTGATATTTAAACGTATTAAATTTATTGTAATCTTATTTATAAGACGTGTATTCAACTTTATGCTGGATTTGCTTCCAAGTAAGTCGTCAAATAAAAAGCCGTACATTGCAGTTAAGTTATTTGATAGTAGATAAATACTAAATAGCTGGTATAGTAAATAATGTGCTCGAATGTGTTCAGGAAATTCCAGAGCCGTGATGTTTGTATCCTAAATGATAGGGAGATGAAAAAAGTTTTATGAAAAGGAGTAAGAAGAAGGAGAGAATAATATGATATAATGAATATAAAGCAATATTATTAAAAACATTATAATATAGAAATTAATATTCGTCGTTTTTATACGCCTTACAGTTTTCCTTGTATTACATTGGTACATAAAAACAGACAAATATAGAATTACTCATTAATTTGATTATTCATTACTCACCAAGTATATCGTATTCCTGAAATATTAGTGTAGACGTGCTTTTGTTTTATTTCTATTAATCTAATAAATATGAAGTCTATTTTATTATACATTATCATATTTTTGTTTATAGTAACTGTGACTTGTGAATCCGGTAAGTATCTTCAAAATAGTTATATAACAAAATAATATAGCGATGATATAATTTGTTCATCAACAGAATGTATTTTTATTATGCCAGAATCGAATTTCTACCTTCCGACATAAGTCGGGGTCGAGAAAACCTCGGCAGGTAGTTCATTCCACAATCGAAAGTTACTTCCGATGGTCGCGGGTACGATTCCTCGTATATGCTCGTATATGCTAAACTACCTGATCAGCGAGGCCGTCAGAATAATATCGAAGTAACCAATAAGCCACAATGCTCGCTCTATAATAATTTTATCTGCGTTAATCATTCGCAGCTCGATATATATAATAGAACACGTTCTAAGATTTACATGTTCTCTGAAGAACTGATGTTATGAGATGTCTTGATTTTTTTGGACACTTATCCCTAATATGTTATGTAAAAAATATATAAATTAACAATTATATAATGATTTCAGAACATGACGTTGTAAATTATAGTACTGGTTTTCTATATTTGAATCTAACTCTAGTGAACATACCCGCAGGAGCTACAACATTTTACTTCCAAGGTTTGTACATTATCGCAGATATCAGAAAGGAGAATGCCTAAAGCAATTCCTATAACTATCTTATCCACAGTTTTCAAGTATAGATGTAGGTAAGAGATAAAATTAGGTTAATGTAAAAGTAGTGAAAGATTCTTATCTAATTAATATATGTCATAAATACCAACTGGATCCCGCAATTCTGCCTACTGATTTTAGATGAAAATTGCCCTATGTGTATTAACTATTGTGTATTACAAAAAGACAGATTCATTCATTCATTCAAGTTTGTGAATTACATGACGTACACGGACACATTCCGTTATTTTACGTAATCTACTTGAAATACCATACATTTATACGAAATTAGACGCGATATAGACTACAGCTTAGTATCGCGTCTAATTTCGTTACCGTCGAACTATATCGTATAATATTGTGTATCTACCACAAGGAAAGCGAATAAGAGAGAATTTGTCGTCACGATTCTCTGTGTTGTAGTTAAACAGAAAAACCAAGGTCTGACGAGGAATCTCTGATGTCTAATATCTAACATCTTGCACTATAACTATATCTAAGGCTCACAGTCTTGTAAAAGTCCCAACATTTTTTTTGACACTCTTTTATTTTCAGTCAAATATAAAAATCGATCAGTGAACATAACTGAATGTAAAAGTGAAACTATGTCTAATATACACTGCAAAATATACATAGACGAGAAAAAGTGTGGAAATTTATATATAAATGTTGTAACCGGCGATTCTGAATTGTGTAGTGAAATTCTATTACTTGAATTATATTATGATAGAACCTACCCTTATAGTAAGTATTAAATATTCAATCAATTATTACTATTAAAACTTAGGTATTTATGATACAGTAATCATGTATAGAATATGAGATGATATATTTCACTAATAATACATACATATTTATTGTTTTACCTTCCAAATTTTGCAAAAATACGTTTGTCATAAAAACTGTATCTACTTAATAAAATGTACCTACCACTAAAATAAAACATTGCTATTACTTAATTGTTATAAATTAAAAAAATTCAAATGACAAAACTCGAAATATCGCATTCTAAAAAGTATGACTCAAGAAATATTCTTATAAAAATTATTTGCAAAAGAATATTTCTCAATTCTTAATATTTAGAGCGCAGTTTTTCATTGTCACTTCAATTAATTTCGGGGTTATAAAAAATAATATCTGAGACAAATTTACAACGCACTATAAAATTGTTCTTGCTCTTTTAAAGCATTCATAAAATGTTTAAATATTTTTATTTATTGTTGTCATTTTAAATCTATTCAATAAAGTCGTATCTGGCCTTACTATCGTGGCAAGCTTCCTAATCCTATAACAGTTAGTATTTGCTCGACACCAATTGATTGAGGTCCAAATAAAAAAAATATAACTTATTGATATTGTGATTACCAGCCTTACAAGTCGCAGTAGTATATATTTTAGCCAGAGCCAGAGACGAATTCATAGTCAGTCTTTTAGTTTAGCATTATCTTCTGAGAGACTCCCTAACTTGCTGTAAACTTTATCGCCATGAAATTCCATTTTATTTTAACTATTTGTTTTTATAAGAATTCGTAAACTGCGTTGATACGAGTATGTCAGTCAGTCAGTAAAATTCTAGTTTTATTAAAACTAAAGTATTCGTTAAAATCAAATGCCGTAAATCACAATTTTGTTCAAAATTAATGACTTATAATAAATAACGTATTTATTTGCTTAAAGATCAATATCAAAAATAGCTTCGTAAATATTCATTTTAAAAATGAACAGTTCATTACACATTTAATGTAATTTTAACCGTTTACGTGGATGCACTTAAAACAAATATTTTTTGCAACATTTTTCATGCTCCTATTGGTCGTAGCATGATAGCCTATAGCACTCGGAGATAATATATCTTAGATACAATGAAACAATTTTTAAAATTGAATCAGCAGAACCGGAGATAACCTCGAATAAATAAACATACAAACTTTACGACTTTCTAATATCTATTACAAAAATTGTTTAATAATTTTATTCCAGTCGTACAAATAGAAATATTATCTGTTACTCTCACATTTTTGTTATGTATTAGGCGCAGCTTAATCGAGAACTGGGTGTATATATAGGTACATTAGCGATGAGGTGGCGTGAGTTTATACCCTAGACTGGGGGGAAAGACGATTGTTAGTAATGTGGATAAAGAACCCTTTTGCTAGCAATGTATGGCATATTTGGCCAGGTTAACCTTCACGCCATTTCCTCTGGAAACCATCATAACAAATTCCTGGTGGATTTGCCACGATGGGTTTGATTGACCTGATCAAAAAATAAAAAAGATCAACAGAGGAACGCCACAAGGCTCTATCCTCAGTCCACCGTTGTTCATATTATATATTGCAGACCTACACAAACATCTAAAACACTGTAATATGCACTTGTATGCCGAAGATACACAGGTGTATCATGCGATTTAGATAGAACTATTACATAAAGACGACGACTGACGACCTCAGTATTATTTCCGAGTGGGCATCATGTAATAATTTAATATTGAATCCCAAAAAATCTCAATACATTGTTTTGGGTCCCCAATGTCAGTGTCAGTATGTAGTAAATCACAGCCCAAACATAATTGTATGTAGACAACCAGTGGAAAGAGTAAACTTGGTGAGAAATCTAGGGCTCATGTTGGACAGCGGTCTGCGCTATGAAGAACATATAAACATGAAAACCAGAATTGCATTTTATAAACTGAAAGTGCTCTACGGATTAAGAGAATACTTATCTGAAAAGGTTAGAGTGACACTTGTAGAAACACTGGTTTTGTCGCAATTCAATTACTGTGATACTGTCTACGGGCCTAGACTGCTGGCACGGACATCTAGCGCTGTACACAGAGTACAAAATTCGTCCACCTGTTTCTGCTACAGTATGCCACGGCGAGCTCGTATCACCCCATTCTTAAATAAAAATACAGTATTGAAAATGGTCCAACGGAGAATACTTCACCTCACAAGCCTGATTCACTAAGTGGTACATAGAAAGAAACCAGAGTATCTCTATGACAAATTCACCTGGATGAGTGATCTACATTCCTTCAACACTAAACCAATACAAAACGCAAATGTCGTTACCGATACATAGGAGGGCAGCAACTAGAGGAGGTTTTAAGTTCTCTGCGGCCAAAATATGGAATGATTTGCCTCCGCCTCTTCACGTTGAAATGTCCCAATTTAGTTTTAAGTATTGATTGAAACGAGAATTACTAGACAACTAAATTAAACGAAAACTTAGTTGAAATAAGAGTGACCTTCTAAAAAATAATAAAAAAAGCTAATATTATCCAATATAATTTATATGTATATACTTATATTCTTATTCTTCTTCTCAGCTACACATCCTATTTATTTATTTTACGATGCAATATTTCATCTATATTTATATCTCTTTGTTATTTGAATTTCTATGTTTTAATTGTAAAAAATTGTAAAAATTATCAATTCTTGGACAGTGAAGTAGCTCGCATAATTTTATATTTCGTTAAGTGAGAGGGACTGACTGAAAATCAGCGCTGTGCGCCGTATATGTAAACGTTACGCTCACAGCATCAGCTGAGTCAGCCCTTTTTGTCCAGAATAAGCAGTATGAGGTACTACTGTTGCTATTTTATATGTAATTTAAGAGGTTATTTTTTTTATAATTTTTATTCAACAAACAGTGTATGAACTCAAATGTGTATCTATCTTTTATTCTGGCAATAAATAATAATAATTATTATTATTATCATCTTATGCTTGTCTTGTCATCTTCCACTGATGACTCCCCACCAGCATATACCATTAGTGCAAGCGGATGTACCAAAACATTATCATCCATTTCAAAAGAATACCCTAGACCAGTGTTTCCCAATTAGTGGTACGCGTACACCCAGGGGTACGTGAAGTTGCATCAAGGGGTACGTGCGGCTATCAGTAAAACAAACACACACACCCACACACTCAAACTTTCACATTTATACTATTAGTGTGATTGCTACAATAAGGGTACGCAAGGTTTGAGGTATTTTTTGAAGTGGTACGCAGCAAAAACCATTTGGGGACCACTGCCCTAGACTACTGAGAATTCATAAATATAATTCACAATTACGTACTATATATAAGGAAACTAGCTGTTGCCCGCGGCTTTGCTCGCGTTAATTTATCCCCTTAGGGGTGGAATTTATCAAAATCCTTTTTCATCACAATCACAAAGCTTCTTTGACGTAGGATAAGTTCCCCTAGAACTTATCCTACGTCATAGTAGCTTTGTGCATGCAAAGTCTCAGCCCGATCGGTTTAAAATTGACAAACTTTCATCCCCTATTTTATCCCCTTGGGGGTAGAAATAATCAAAATCCTTTCTTAGCGGATGCCTACGTCATAACATGTACCTGCATGCCAAATTTCAGCCTGATCCGTCCAGTGGTTTGGGCTGTGTGTTGATAGATCACTATGTCAGTCACCTTTGTTATATGTATACATTTAGATATAAATAATAAAAAAAACTCTTCTCAGCACGCCCTTTGCCCATTTCAATTCACACCCATATCTTTCACAGGAGAGAGTATTCAACGTTTTTGCGAAAAGGATATGAAGAATGTATGTAATGCTACAGATGAGACAGTATTATATAATAATAGTACTGGTACTGGTAAGCATTCTAAGCCTGTCTACGAATTGATTAAAAATTTGATTCCAGTTGACATAGAAATATTATCTGTTAATATTATTTTGATAGTAATGTGGACTACTAACCGCAATACTAGCAATGTACCATGTCAGGTAGACCTCCGCGCCGTTCCTCTGGAATATATTATCACAAATTCCTGATAAACTTGCCACGATGGGCTAACTGACCTTATCTTATGCTTTATGCTTGTCTTATCATCTTCCACTGATGACCCCCCGCCAGAACTATTATCATTATATATAAGAAAAATACCCTAGACCACCGAGAATTCATAAATATAATAAGTACACAATTACATACTATATATAAGAAAACTCACACGTATATCTTTCACTGGACCAAATATTCTATATAATGCTACAGATAAGACAATATTACACAGTAATAGTATTGGTACTGGTAAGTATTAATAGCCTGTTTGCAAAATTGTTCAAAAAAAATATTGCAGTACACATAAATATATTATCTGATAATTTATAGCTTTGCTTAATAGAGAACTGGGAGAATTTAGCATGTGAGGGGACAACAGAATGTGAGGGGCATGCCCGAATTTCGAGAGGGGGGGCTCCTTTTTGCCCCTTTTTGACTTGACCCTTGATTCAAGTAGTCAAGCATTTTTTAGTTTTTATCCCGCCTTGAAAAAAATATAGATCCGGGGTTGGTGAGGTATAGCGTGTTGATATCCTAGACTACCGAGACGTTGTAAACATTATACATAAGAAGTTAAAATATACTTTGTATTATTTACAGAATTTCCGAAAGAGGTCATTATTGGAGTGGTACCAGTACTTATAGTAACTATTATAATGGTAGTGGTATGTATATTTTATAGAAGGAAAAATAAAGCAGTTGATGTATCATATCCCGAAGAAAGTCTATATAGTGTACGTACCTTTAATAATTTATTTCTTCAAAATAAGATTGTCATAACCAAATCATAAGAGAATTACAGACTGGCTATGTAAATCTGTAATCTTGGAGAGGCATGAGTGTAAGATTACTTAGGGATCTGATACCCATTACATTATATAAAAAAATAGTTTTACGAAGATAGATTTGTACAAAGTTGTTTGCATAAAATTACACGCTACAATGGTCATGCATCTACCATATCTCTAAGCAGAATTATACAAAAAAATTTAAAATGAGACATTACTAGGTATTGTGTCTCAGAAAATCGTAATACAACTGACAAAAAAAAATAGCTATATATATTATATCGAAAAAGAATGGCAAAATAGAAAAAATATATATATATAAATTAAAATATCATAACTAGTTGCATTTGGCAACACCTACTTTTCAGGAATTGATTGCAATGCATGAGAATTATCATAGCCGTTAATTTTTTGTACATAGTGATTAAAATGGCAAACAAGCCAAGGGCAAGTGGCAACTGTCGCCAATATACTGATAGAGAAAAACAGTACATATAAACCATCGCAGTTGCAGTTACATCTGTTACTTGTCTTATTTTAAATGTGATGGATTATACTTTTTCTACTTCAATCAATGTGCCTAATAACCACCAGACATCATGTCATTTTGCTTGCTTCAAGTCTCATGAATTGGGCGATGGGCTAACTAACCATGGTCGTTCTATTGACTTCCACTGGTGGAGTAAGAGTATACAAACGGTACACTATTTCATTACTATCCATTATTAAAAAAATAGACTAAACGGAGGTATTGTTATAAAACAATTTACTTTTAAAAATTTAGTCCTGAGGAGAGCCGTAGTCACGGGGAGGGCCACGTACCAATACTTACTACCATGTAGAGGAACATTAAAATTAACAATTACTGATTTATTATTATAACCTGACATCATGTTCATCTTCTCTTCCTCGATTGGTGTCCAGCCAACTACACCGTTAATGTACTACAGCCAGGTACACCATTCCAATATCATCCATTGAGGTGAAAAGGATTGTAAGTAATGTGATCTAGTTACTCCATCACTAGCAATGTACTAGTAAGTCAGATTGACCTCCACGCGGTTCACGCAGGAAACTATAGTATTAAAATCCAGGTCAATTTGTCACGATGGGCCCCAATAGCGTAAACCGTTAGCGCAGGTTAAAAATAAAAATAAATATCATCCATTAAAAAATATAATTATATCTGCTCGTAAACTACTATGTTATTAATTTAGTGCTTTTCTTTCAGGATCCCAACTGCATTCAGTATGCCCAGTTACAGCTGGCAGAGCCACAACCAAATTCGTATTTGTCTCAAAGGGAAAATGTGGGATATTCTGAAATTATTGGTGTACTGAAACCGCAACAGTAAAAATAAATAATAATTTTATTATAATTTATTTTTACATAAGTAGTAACAATATTATCAGTTTTAATTTAATTAAAAGTTCATATAAAATGTGCGTCCGAATTAACTGCAATCTGTAGTATAGAGCATGGTGTTAGTTGTATTTACTATAATAAAAAAACATGTTTTACTACGAGTAGCATTTCAATTTTAAATGTTAATTTACACAAAACGGATTTTTTGCATTTACGATGGATATTTAGTTGTCATAAAAATATTAACATTATGTAATATTATCTTATCTGTGGTAACATTAACTTGAAATGAATGTTATACCTACCTACCTATTAGCAAACAATTGGGTAGCGGCCTTTATACCATAGGTACTAGCTGTGCCCAAAAAAATGTTCGATAAAAGTCGCATTATAACTTCAAAAATAAAATTATACCCCTTAAGGGTAAAACTTTTCAAACTTTGAATGTCATATTTATTATATTTAATCAACAACCTAAAAATTAAATTTCATGCTTCAAGCTTTAAAAATAACTATACTTCCATAACTTTCGTACACTTAAAACGAAAATAAGGGACTTAAAGAGAAAATGAAAGGCATCTCACCTTTCAACCCGTTATTTTCGCATTAAAAAGTCCTTTTTCAGGGCCTAGAACTCTAGACTATCTTTGTACCATATCATACCATTTCATTTAAATCGGTTCAGTAGGTTTGGCGTGAAAGAGAGACAGACAGCTCTATCTGTCTTTTTAACAAAGGTACTTTCGCATTTATAATAAGTAAGTTTATAATTATAAAATTCTTGAAAAAAGTTATTAATTAATATAAGTTAATTCCGACATCTACTAACTAAAGTTTGAACCACTATAATCCTATTCGTGAACATTTCGTGCATTACTTAATGCTTATTAATATGGACGATAGATGTCACTACGATGTAGTTATCTTAATCTTATTATTATTATTAATCTTATTTACATTACATTTTCTCAGCCTTTGCTGGTTGTCTACACTTTATAGTGTATACCACACTAAAACCAAGTAAGTGTGTGTGTGTATGTATTATAATTATTATTTTGTATAATAAATGCGAGTTTCTGAGGATAGATTTTGTAACTCTTTCACGCAAAAACTACTAAACGGATTTTGATGAAACTCTACAGTCATATAGCTCATACATCAGAATGACACAGGCTATAATTTTAAAAGATACTATGCAATAATAAATGTCATGTAAGACGAATGCAGAGGAATTTGCGCGGGTTACCAAGTTAGATATATTTATAAATTTAAATGTTATTTTATTACATTTGAACAATAAAAAGTCACAAGTATTTAATTATTTATGATGTTATGGTCCACTTATTTACGTGATATGGTTTAGCAATATCTCTACCGTCCATTTCGACTAACCTCAATTGAGAATAACGAGCAAGATACTCAGCTCGTATCTACTTTTTGATGTTATTATGTATTATTATTATTTAATCACATAATAAATAAAATAATATAGCAAATAGTATACATATGCCTTATACTTTAAATATCTGAAATGCTACAACTATGTAATATTATATTAATTATCTGTGCTACAACTAAGACCATACACGGTGTTCTTCCAAATAATCGTTTACAGAGTAAAATATGCTCAATAAGCATACAATATTAAGAAAATAAATAATTAATATTTATTAAAAGGTAGATTTAAAATATATAAAAATATTATAGAGTATTAACCTAGTAGTATATAGTGATTTCATTAAAAAATAACACACATACAACGCCTACATCTACTATGTAGTTTTACATCATCATTATCATCATTACATAGTGTAATAAAAAGTCGCTGTCGCTGTCTGTCCCTATGTATGCTTAAATCTTTAAAACTTTTTTTGATTTTGGAGTTTTTTTAAATAGATAGACTGATTCTAGAGGAAGGTTTATATACATAATAAATGTTATATAATAGGATGAGTATGAAGTCAGGTTAGTTAGCCCATTGTGTTAAATTCACCCGGAATTTAACATAATTGTTTCCGCATAATGGAGGAACCGCGTGGAGGTCAACCTGACATGGTACAGTGCTAGCAATGGGCTTAGTCTACATTACTAACAATCCCCTTTCCCCCTCTTACCTTATTCGGTAAATAATGTTATGTTATTAACATTTTTAAAGTCACTTCAGGCCATAAAATCTTAATTAAGTAATTAATTAAATATTCGAATGTCTCCATAGTGAAATGTTTAAAGTCAAGAAAACGACAGAAAACAAGGATAATAATAAAAAATATATAATTTGAACTTTCAGTGTCAAGCATAGTGACATCTATTGGAGTTCATAAGCAACGCTCTAAAATATCGATATTAATCTTCAATTTAGACGTTAGATGTCGTTGTCTCAATCATGTCCATTACTAACAAGAAAAGGCTACATAGGTACCTAAAATTGTATCAAAAGTAGATAGATCAACCTTACCCTATGTAACATATATCTATAATAACATTAAAAAAATTGTTCACTTAAGAAACTTAATTAGTAGACATTATAAAGAAATCACTAGGAATTTGTTGCGCTTTGGATAATTAGCAACTTCAACAAACCCTAAAGATATATGTTTTATAATTAGAAAAATCGCATTTTGTACAGTAGTATACTTATTTTTAATTATAATACATATATTGTATAATCTTTGTAGTTATTAATAAGGAAAAGAAAAAATGTGTTTATTGCTTTTACCATCGGCCTCGTATCACGAAGTATCTCCTAGTTGCTTCTTTTTGTGAAGCTATTGCTAATAATTTTAAATTGTAATATATTAAATCAAGAGATTACCACCTCTATGCGAAACATATTACAGTTACAATTATAAGATGACTGACAATTGTAATTAAAAAGTTATGTATTTACGGCAACTATAAAATGATCCGTACTTATATTTCTAAAGTGTATAGTACAAAATTGTTTCAAGCAATTAGAAATTAAACCACATAATTTTAGACTTTTTTAATTTGTATATAACTTATACATTACAAAAACTTACAACTTCTGTATTTATATCACCACTATTTAATTAGGTGGTTTTCAAGTGAATTCAAGTTGACCTTTCAATTAAGTAATAAACATTTAGCAAATACTTGTCTCCAGTCAATACTTAATTCTAGTTTACATTATAACAAAAGTGGGAGTATAAAATTTTTCCTGCTTCATTGTAATGCATAAACATAAATTAGAAATCTTACAATTACATCGTTCCGCATTCCGAATACTTCCTCACCGGCTTGCTTACTAGCAAAGGGCGCTTAATAATACTGGCCACCAATAAAAACATGTGGCCATTTAAATTTCGAATTTAGAAAAAAAAATCAATTGAAAATAAGAACTTGAAGAAAAAGTACGCTCCATATTTTGACTATTAAAAACAAGAAAATTATTGATTTAATTAATATAATATAATTGTATTTATTAGTATCTCACTCTAGAGTGTGTGAACTGTACTAACATCAGGACGTTCCTGAGCAAAGATGAGTAAGTTTGGTTTTACTTTGTTTACTGTGAAGTGTGGAAGACATTCGTTATGGGCGAAATCGTATTTCCCCTTATTTTTCCATTAATTATATAGTCCACTCTCTATTTTTATTTCTTCTTTGTACGGATTCGTAATCCAACAAAAAAAAAACTACGAATCCAAGTAGCTTCTCCAATAGCGTCCCAATTCCCATTCATACTTCCCTTCTTTTCCAAAGTTCTTGAACTCCATAATACTCTATTATTACATCTCATTTAACAACCTCCAATACCCTGGTATGGTGTTACGGTGACTTATGGATAGTTATCTTAAGGAATATATATAGATAAACGCGTGCACTTATTTTTTCATTCGCTCCAACGTCTCCAATACATTTAATACCAAAATTATTCTAGCTCAATCTATTCTTCTCCCCATTCTCGACTATGCCGACGTTTGTTTTATTTATGTGACTGAAGAACTTTTGAAGAACTTGAACACCATCAAAACCTAGCCATCAGATTTAAATTTATTCTGGGTAAGTTCGAATATGTTATATTTATTTATTCATGCTATATTTTGTAATCAGTTAAAATGGCTCCCTATTTGTCTTCGACGTAACATGTATATTCTATCAACTCTATTTAATATACTCAATGATTCCAATTCTCCATCGTATCTTCGCTAAAGGTATTTAGTTTTAGTAAGGTTTAAATCTTTCAATTAGTCTCTTCTACTACTCGTATCAAAATTATCTAAATAATATTAATATAATTATAACTAAACCAAACCTGTGTTTCATGTTAATAACAATAACACACAACTAAACAACCTACAAATAGTTAGATACAGTTTTTCGAAAGTATGTATATAATATAGTAATGGTATAGGTAGAAATCACGCACACGTATAAATTTTTGCATCGTAAATCATTTGATTTGCGACCATCGGAAGAAAAACGGTTTATATAGGTACTGCTAAGCCACCGAGGCCACCAGATAATGTAAGTTATTTTGTTTTAATTACATACCTCTTGTACATCTCAATAATATTCCTTAACACAAATTATAACACAAAAACATTTTAAACAACTAACGTAATCTAAAAAGTAATTTAAATTAAATATTATGTAGTTGTAGATGAATGAAAAATATTTTTTTAACTAACTAACGCCTACGATATTCAGAAACAGGTAACGTGTATTGATATTTCTTACTAGCTGTATCCGCGACTTCGTCCGCGTGTAATTTAACTTGAAATATATATATAGATACTATAAAAGTAAGTTACTCCTTATTACATAAGCTACCTGCCAAAAAAAGTTCCGTGAAAATCGGTCCAGCCATTTCAGAGATTAGCCGGAACAAACAGACACACACACAGGCAGACAAAAACTGTAACAAATGTTATTTTGGTGTATGAACCATATTTATATTCATATGCATGCAATAAAAAAAGGGTTATATCAATATTACAAACAAACACTCCAATTTTATTTATATATAGATGTATAGATTTAATATACTGTTGTCCCTGTAATTTTAATTATTAATAGGTATAATTTATTAGAGTAATACCTTGGACACCCATCATCCAATTTGTCCTCAAATCTCTTCCCAAGCAAC